TTTCGCATAACAAGCACAAATTTGCTGAAGAACGAAGAGGCTCGAAGCTAACGAGGAAATACTTGCCTCGCGCCCGAATACATTTGCATTTTATGAAGTTTCAGAGGCGGAGCCAGAAAGGCGAAGCGCCGTTGTGACTTGACCCGCGAAAATTATCGGCCAACCTAGCTTCGGCATTCCCCGTACACCGGCAGCAAGAAATAATTTACAATTCTATCGGCGTTAAGCGGCATTAAACGCCATAATCGAGCGTCCGGGGACGAATCGAAGACTTGACGGCTGTTAGACGATCGCAGTTACCGTTCACCGCAAACATGGCAACGAGCATTGTGCTTCTCTTCGCCTATATCTTTGGATTCCTCCTTTCGTTCCTCTTACAGTTACGAGGACGACGATGAAGAAAAGAAACTCTTAACGAGATCCGTAAATCGTTCGCGTTCCAAAAGAATCGCGGAAACAAAACGGATCTGTAGCATACCGGAGAGAGAGAGAGAGAGAGAGAGAGAAAAAGAGAGAGTCTCTCGGTTCTTTGATCGATGCGTCGCATCATTTATCATGATTGGACGTTGAACGTGTTCGAAACGGTCGATCATGGCGCCGATCCTTTTTCTTCTTGGCCTTCCTTCCTCTCTTTTTCCTGTTATTTAACGCAGAAGATAAACGTCGATAACAATGAATAAATCATGCTTCCCCTTATCGAGACTATGAACTCGATTAAATCGTTCGTTAAAGGCGGATCTTAAGTTTCGTTCAGGTTGTACCTGTTCTCCCCGATCGTTAAAGTCACCGGCAGGAACAATGATCCAGTGAACTTTAAAGAGATCGGCCACCGCCATCCCGCCATACTTTTCTCCGTGTGGTTGTGTTTCTCCCCCCTCCGTCCTCCCCGTTGCGGGGAAGGCACATCCGATAAATGAGAATATCGGAAATATCTCAAGGCCAGCACCGGCCGTTCAATATCGAGTTAATTGCAAATAAAAGAACGCGAGGAAAACTTGATTACAGTAATTCCGCTCTTTGATCACCGATATCCGGTTTATCGGCTTCGCCAACCGTCTGGGGCGCTCTATAATTTTTCACTCACCTCGAGGACGATTAGCAAAAAACACGGATAGAGAAACTGTCCTGCAGTTGTTAAAATAGCAATAAATAGTCGGAGCTCTTTGATGGCGAATAAGCGCGATGTTCACGCCTTTGCATATCAAATGCCGAGGCGTTGCTTTGCCAGAATACAAATTAACAAATAATATGAATTAGTAAATAACGAAGTTAATTCAGCATTAATTCATGTAACTCGAAATAACGATATGCAATTGTTCAATGCCGATCGTTTTGAATAAAAAGTCAAAATACACAATCCGTATGGAAGGCAATCACGAAAATAAATATCGTAATCACAGTCGTTCGTATTATAGCGTTGGAATATCAGTGGGAGTACAATGAGCCGCTGTTGCTGTTTTCCGAGGCGCAGGCAATATCGCAGGATCGCAAGCTGAAAACAGCGCGAGTAGATCAACGACCGCGGACGCGAGGATAGATCGATCAAAGGTGCGGATTCTCGAGATCGAATGGAACGAGATCGGTGGCGCGTGAAGGGAAGAAACTTGAAACACGCCCGATTCCGAAGTGTTGTCCTTTTTTCTCTCTTTCTCTCTTTCTCTCTCTCTCTCTCTCTCTCTCTACTGTTGGCCTCTCTACTTGTTTTGCCACGATCTCTATTCATGTTACTCGAGGCTCTCCGGCTTGCTCTCGAGCATAGTTAAAGCGGCAATTCGGCCGTGACGAAAATGAATTTTACTTTGTTTGAAATTGCGACGCGACGCGCGTTCCACGATAACAGGGCCAGTTGTGCTCGAGACGAGCTCGAACGAGCGCAATTTTGTGCCGAATATACTTGCCTGTAATTCAATTACGTTGTTCTTTCGACGATATGCATGGATATCGACGGCGTGCAATTAGCCGACACAATGGGATAACTTTGAAATTTGTTGCTCACAGTATCGTCGCGATTTATTATTGCCATAGTGAAGCGAGATTTTATCGATCGCGAGAGAAGACAAGTAGCGTACATGTTAATCGTACATGTGCGGGGAGACTGTTTGAATGTGCGTAGTGTAGTAGAGCAATATATATATATATATATATATATGTAGCGAATTAAGATGGATAATATATTTCTTCGATTAACTTTCCTCTAACGTGATATGCCCGACTATTATTATTTTAAAAAACTCCGGAATGCACTGCGCTTACCGTGGCAAGACAGGAACGAGAAAAACCTGTAATCGGCGACTTTTCTGAAATACGAGTTCGCTCGATCTTGTCATTAATCGCGGTGTACGACGTTCATCACAAACGCGCACGCGTGTCTGTATACACGAACGGGCTACGAACGTGTGCACCAGGAGCGAACCTGGCGGAATGAAAATTCTTGTAATCGAGATAGCCCCATTGCGGTACGCGAAACGTCAATTAGGAAACCAGTAAATTTCCTCCTTATTTCCTCCGGGAATCGGTGAATCGTCATTATACCGTTCCTCTGGCAAACGTTTATCCTCTTCTTTACGTAATAGGCCACTTCATTCGCAAAACTGTTTCGCGACTCGACGAGAGGAAGATTCGTCCGGGGGAACACCGATATCGGCTTTCATTGTCAGTTGTGCGAGTCAATTCGCTACGTCGCAGAGAACTTTTGCCCTGAACGATCCTACGACAAATCGCGCCTTTGGTACTTCGTCGATCGATCCGATTCGTAGAAGCAGCTGTTGTAACTGTTTCCCTTCGTTGCCAATAAAAAAAGCGACTCGAGCATTGAAAAGAATTTACCGTTCCTCTCTGGCTCGTAAATATTAATCGTACTGCCTTGGTGGCCAGGTCGGATTAAAATTAATATTTCATCCCAGCGATCCGAACGAGCGTTGCCGCGTCTCGATGTTTTACGGCCGACCCCGGCGACTTCCGAGGCACAGTTTTTCACCTCGCGTCTCTCTGAAACCTAGATAAAATGGAAAGTACGCGCGCGGAGGCTGCGGAGGCTCGCTCGATCGTGACCCGATGTCTTCCCCGCGAGAGGTATCTAACAGGAGGCGAGGAACGGGACGCGAAAGGACGAGAATACTCGTCAGGGCGTGTCTTTTCCGTATTCTCTGCGTCAGACTTTCTCTGCATTGTTCGCGCGTTCCCTGGACGTTCCGGGCATCCCTTCGCCGAACGCCGCCTGCACCGATCAACTCGCGAAAGCGTGAGCCGGCGCAATTACGCGAGAAACTCGTGTCACGAGTCGAACGGAAGAGAGAAATAAATCGGCGAAAACGTAGCGAACGGCGAGTCAATAATTGCGCGCATCGCAATTCCCGATCGTTTGCACGCGCTATGTTTCTCGCCCAGAGGTACGTAATAAAAGAGAACAATAAAATCTGCTCACGGTTGGGAAGGGCGTCGTGTCTCTTCTCTCTTCTTCTTTCTCTCATTACCTGTCTTCGTTCCTCTCCAACATCGGAGCTTTCTCCGGCGTGTCGAGCAGCGAACCTTAACCCACGGCCGACGGTCCCTTCGCTCATCCTACAATTATCATAAAACGTGAATCGAATCTCGTGAGTCGATAATTCGAGGGTCCTGTTACTTCGTTACGTGTGCGCACATGCACGACACGATCTGCATTCAAGCGCGCGTCACTTTGTAACGCAGCAGCTCGATACGAATTTTAGTCTGGAGTTTCTTTTCTTTTCTTTCTTTTTTTTTTTTTTTTTTTTTTATAACGACGACTATCGCGAATCGCGAAAGTTTCTCGAATATTAAAGCCACGCGATTGCCTCGCGAGATTGCGCGCGTCGTTGCTGGAACGCCGTGGCGTGTTAAGAAACGAAATAATTTCGTCGAAAGGCGTAACGTTAATCGTGTACAACGTGTTGACCAACACAGTTGAGGAACATCTTCCTTGTTCTCGATCTTTTAGTTGATCACGTCGCCTCCTTGGCTTTGCCAGAGGAACTGATTAGCATGAAATGTGAACAGAATGCGGGATTCGAATATGAGAGCTCTCTTTGACGAGGCTGTTCCTTTCAGAGAGAAGCGGCTACCAGTATTAGCGTTCGAAGGTGTGGAGGCAGAGTCGTGACAGTCGTAACACTTTCGTGGCTGGATCGTTAAGTAGCGATATCGACGACAATAACGGTATGCCCGAGTATATATCGATGGCCTGGCCTCGCTTGTCGCGGGAACCTCCTTGAGAATCTACGGGCGTCCATTGTCCTCGAGATTACATAAGAGATTGCGTTCCTCGCGGTCTTGAATCTTTTCAACGACCTCGGTTTCTAGATCAAACGCTCGGGGATGCTCGTTATCGCGTCATCGACGCGTCTTATCGATACCGGACCGTGAAAGGACTAACAAAAAGATTGTTAACAACGTGGTAACTTCGTAGATAGAATCTCTCGGCACAACAACTCTGAGCTGCTTTTTTTTTCTCTTTTTTTTCCCCTTCTTTCGATTCCCGTCTTCTGTTCGACGATGCATTTGCATGCATTACAAATCACGAGTTACGGTGTATCGAAGCAGCAGTTTTTGTAGCCACTCGATCCGTTTCAGGTCGGCTTAACATTCGTGCCATCTTGGCCGTAAGATGCATCGTAGAAATACGGAGCAGTCGAACAAAAGCAGCAAGGGGTTGAAGGGGGATTGTCAGGTGAACGCATTTTGAAGTGATACTCGTGAACGAGGGCAGAGAGCCGTGCCGCGTTTACCGAGCTGTCGAGAAGTGGAGGCAAGCATCGGAGGGAGTTGTTAAAAACCTACGGTACCGTGACTGTTTTCCCGACGCGTCTGAAAGAGCTGGTCTTTAATAAAAGCAGCTACGACTTCCTTAAGAACGTCACGAGGAACACACGTTAAAAATGCGTTAACAGCTTGTAACGAGTACCGTCCGTGTCAGTGATCCCTCTTCCTCCCCGCGCCGGTCGAGAAACCTCGTGGATCTCTGTAGGTGTCGTCGACAGGTATTTCACCTCGTCCCCCCCCCCCCCCCCCCCCCCCTCCCCGAGGGGTAGAGAATTCCTCTTCTTTGTGATGCTTTTCCTTTATCTAGCGGATCGACGATCAGACCGGTGGGGACTGGTCTTTCAGGATCGAAGTCGAAACGAACGAGCGAGCGGAAAAGGCACACTGCCGGCGACTCGCGAACGTTTCGTCGCTTTGGAATATGCTCACTCGCCGCTTATTATCATCCGATAAGGAAATTTGTAATTTGCCGATAATTGCGAACGCAAGGTGCACCCGTTGCCGAGGCAAAATGGTAATCGCGTCGTAAATAGTCGCACGTAAATTGGCTTGCATAGAAAGTCTCTGGCCTTCGTTGGTCTCGCTTTCTGTGTAGAGCGCAGTCCGTCCGAAATGATATGCTCTGAAAAAAGAAAAAAAAAGAAGAAGAAAGAAAAAAAGAGAAGCAAAAGCCCCGAAGGTTCGTAGGAAAGAGCAGACGGTGAAATGCGCCCCCCCCCCTTTGCCTTCGGTAACGTTCAAGAAGAGTGAAAAGGAAAGAGGACGAACGACAGCCAGGTGGAACAAAGATGGAGGAAAAAGAAGACACGAGTCAGAGACCCTCCAGCTAGGCGGAGTAGTTTTAAACTAGTGTCTCGTTCTTTCTAATGACTGTCATTTACCTGGTGTCATCCGCGTGTTCCGCTGCAGCCGACAACCTACGACGGCCCTTCATACTGCACGTAATCTTTTCAATGTCCGAGACAAGACGGATTCCCGGCGTCATTAGGGAGCATAAAGTGTCTTTCTTTTCTTGTTTCGTCCGCCTGCCCCACCCTCCAACCGGCTCCTTTCTATCTTTCGTTTTTTTCGTCGTCCATCGTGGAATTTGCCTCGACTCCTCCGCTTCGTCGTCGTTCCTTCTTCCACGATTGCGCAGGCCAATGGAGCGCCAGGTGTGGCCATTAATTTCGCAGCGCACTGCGGAAAAAGGCCGCGAGATCCGAACAAAGATTGCTTCCAGTACGGACCGCGCGCGGCTCTCCGACCGCGGACTGAAACGAGCATTTTTGTGGGACAATTATTCGCGAAGGTGAGCCGCGTCGTTGACACGGAATTACTGTAATTCCTCTCTCCAGACCGTGCACAAATTTTCCGGCCGTTTTGCTCTCCGTCCTCAAGAACGGAGACGCTTTGTCCGTGATTTTAATTGTTCCTCCTGTGCATTTCACCGCGGATGTTGGAAAATATTTTTCTAACACGCACGCGACAATCCGAATGTAAGAATTGATCGGACAAAAACTAGCGTAAACAAAATCATTTCCCATTGGTAAGATTAATGGGTTTTCGCGTTTTAAAATTTTCAAGTTCTAACGCCAATCTTCTAGCCGCATTCTCCTTGCACAATCGTGAATTCCTCGGAAACGTACAGGAACGTATAAACGCGTAGGATATGCAATTACCGGGGATAATTACCTGGGCAGCAGTAAAATCTAGAGGAGACGGAAATCAATGGAAAGCGCTTAAACCATGTCAATCACCGCCACCCCCGTAAGGTATCCCAGACGCGCGACAGTCCCACACCACAAATATGCAATCAATACCCGGTATATTATATTCGATGGTACACACCATGAAACCAAACATTTTTAGAGTTTGCTTGTTGGATTTCTCGATCCCCTATACGCGACGTATAAACGCGTAAAAACGCTTGGAGCTTGAAATTTTCTGTAAAAACTCTTCCCACGACGCATTATCGATACATATATACATTACTAGGATTTCTGTTCGTTGCGGGGAAGTCACAGTTATTAGCGGAGAGGGACTCCGATCTCGTGTGACTTCGCCGAGCGTGTAACGCCTAGGAATAATACGCCGAGAAAGTAACAACGTTGCTCGTTTTACGTAACGAAAAAGAAGAGGCTCGTTAACGCGGCGAAAATCCAGAATAAAATTGTATCGCGCTGTAACGCGCGCTCGCGAATATTCGTTCGGTTAAATCTCATTCGCGCTCCAGTTTCCGCCTGGCCTGCTACGTAACACGATTCGCCGAACAATACTCGATGTAATGACGACGACGTACTCTCGCTAACTCAATCCATGTCAACGAATCCACCCTCCTTTCCGAGTAGCTTGTACCTCGTTAATTACCGAGCAATTAAATCAAAATCAACTCGGACGAGATTGAACTTAAATTGGCTTTCGTAGGTCGGGTGGTGCATCCGGCACGGCTGGTGCTGGGATGGTTCCATCGACCGGTGGAGCTCCTGGAAACCCAACAGGAGGCGGCAGGATGGCCGTCATCGGTGTGACCAGAAATGTCAGACTGAGACGGCGTGGAGCGTCTGGATTTGGCTTCTCCCTTCGCGGTGGCAGAGAGTATGCAGCTGGATTTTACGTCAGCGACGTGCAACCTGGCAGCGAGGCTCACAGAAACGGATTAAGGGTAAATCTCAAGTCTACCTGCAGAAAGATTTTCCATTAAAATTTACTGTTCAAAATATCTCAGGAGCGAAGAATTGTTTTTCTTAAATTCTTAGAGAGAAACGCATAGCGATTTCAAATTTTTTTTCTTTTTTTTTTTTAACTGATTGTTTCTAGTTCGTATAACATTCGGTCAAGAGATAGAAATCGATTTCGTGATTGCGAAAGGGCGGCTCGGTTTTCTGCTCTGTTTCGTTAACGCCGTATATTTTACTTTTAGTTTCACCTTGTTTCTTTTCTTTTCTTTTCGCTTTCAGGTCGGTGATCAGATCATAAGGGTGAATGGATATCCGGTGGAGGACGCCGTCCATCAGGAAGTGGCGCTTCTGGCAAAAAATCAGCAAGTGCTCGTTCTCAAGATTCGAAGTAATTACTTACAATTTTTCCCTCTCTTTTCCATCTGTTTTCTCTGCCGATTCTTTCAGTTACAAAATGTACACGAACAACTCGAACTGATTGCTCGTACTTTTTTTTTTTTCAGGCGTGGGAATGATACCTGTGAAAGAGTAAGTACCGATCGCTCATTAAAAATTCCGCGAGGCACTCGCGCCCGTTCGAGGAGTGTTTCCTCGTTATAAAAGTACTTTATGATTCGCAAAGCAACCCGAACGATCCGGTCACTTGGCACATGGTGCAGCAGCAACAGCAACAGCTACAATACAACGAAACTGGTTTGGGCGCCGTTCCGAGCACCGAAGTCAGGATTCGAATTCTCGTCGGCGAGAAGGGTCGCCTCGGGTGTGGCGTTTGCAGAGGCATCGTGCCAGGCCTCACTGTTCAGGTTAACTATGGTTTCTCACTGACATTCAGTAGTAATTTCGTAACTCTTCGTTTCGTGTTTAATTTCAATTTCGATGGTCGACGTAATGATTGCGAATAACAGAGTAGATCATTGTTCGGTCGAAATTGCCACGCGGGCATAGAACAGCGTGATCCAAGAGACGATCGAGAATTAATCAAGTGAAATTCATTTAGGGTACCAGGGACGACGGGCCAGCTAGAGCAGCGGGCTTAAAAGCCGGCGACGTTATAATTTGGTGCAACGGTCAACGTCTCACGGATCTTCCGTTCGAGAGAGCCATCGAGGTAATGAGAAGCTCCGCCGTTCTCGACTTGATAGTGCAACGGCCCACACCGAATCATCTTTACGACTGTCCCGAACCGCTGTGGACCCGCGGCTCGAGCGGTTACGACTCTGAAACGTCGAGTGTGGCTGCAGCCAGCCCGCAGCCGCAGAATCCTTCTTACTCGCCGCAGCATCATCACGATCCTAGGATGCATCATCGATATCCTCGCGACGACGCTTGCAACCGAAACGGGAGGTTAGTGAGAAGAGAAGGCAAATTGCGTTTACGCGGCGTTTACTGAAACATACAAGACAACAGTATGTGAGGATTCGCAAGATGTTCAAAGTAAAAAGTGATGGTTGATATTTGAAATAGTTGAGACAAATCTCTCCTTAAATTCCATTTCTCCAACGCAAACATCTACTATGTTTACTTACATCGTTTTATATCTCTGACGTTTGACACTTGATCGTGAAGATTACGAAAGCAAAGCAAGTAGATGGAATATATGTACGTATGTATGCGTGTGTGTATGTCCATCCAAGATCAAATTTGTTTCACTTTCCCAACACCAGCCAAGAAAGTAGATATTTCGCGACATCAAAGAACTACCTGTAATTAGTTACGTGTGTAAATCTGATGTAACGTTTAAACGACCATGTTTGTAACACAATTACTATGCCGCAGTCCGCCAGAGACCATTGTACGTGTAATTACGATCAACAACGACCAGCTGAACGGTTCTTTGCCGGGCAAGGTATATCGTTTGCGCTTTATGCCACTGGATAGGTATCTCTTTCTTTTTGCCGGGCCGTTATCACGTGGCATCGACGAATTTACACCAAGGAGAAAGTCGGTCTATTAATACGACGTGCGGCGATAACGATCACTGTACCGGGCAGCACGACGAATTCCTCACCGCCACATAAACGTTCATCCTGTTCTTAACCCTCGCTGGTGCTCGTTTTATCTCGTACTTCCTCACGACGTTGTTTAATTGGAATTAGAAAGTACCGTTCGATTCGCAAAAGTTATCGATAACACGTGTTCGTGAATATTTCAGAATCTGCTGCCCGCTTGCCCTGTCCACTAGCAGCTGCAGCTCCACGGAATGGGCTCACATGGATCAGGTAGGAATCTTTGAAGATTAAAATATAAAAGTGTGGAAAATAAAAAAGAACAGCCAAGAAGAGTTAATAACTGATTGACTGGCAGTCCCAGGAATGGACACGGAAACCGAATAACACCACGGTGATTCGTATCAATCAGAGCCAGAACCAAAACCACAGGTTTGTAGGCGCGCCAGGTCGTCCGAATTCGCGTGGCAATTACGAAGACGACATCGACAACGAGCCACTTTACGACCCTGTGGCGCCAAGAATCGACTATGAGGTTCACGACTTCGACGCCAATCCGAGAGACGAAGCAAATCGGCGTTTGGCTTATCGGAGGGACAACATGCGGCAACAAGACGTCATTTACGACGGCCCGGCCGATGATATGCCCCCCTATCATGGATCCAAAGTGAGTTACTACTCTTTTGGCAAAAAGCCATTATTATTCTTGTAATAGCGATCAGTACTTTCCATCTTCGAGTTTCCTCGTAATCATCACGATTATCTGATCGTAATGATCGATGTAGAATACCCCGAATAGAGCCGTCGACCCGGCTTAATTAAAAAGAGAAACGATCATAAATTGTACAGTAACTGTGGATATTCCAACGACAGACTCAAAGAACTTTCGTTGCAATATTCGTCACAGGAAAATGGCACGCAGGATGGAGACAGGAAGACGATAACGACCGTGGAGATTCACCAAACCGTATGTCCACCAGCACCGCCGCCACCTCTTCCTTACAAATGGTCCGGAGGTGCGTCGAGTGATGCCAAGTTTAGACACAGTCGACGTTTAACACGCGTATCGTAAACTAACCGCGAAACGTGCTTTTCCCATCCTCACAGACACGAAGCCAATGAACGCGAAGGGCATGCAAATGGGTAGCACGATGTCGATGGGCAGCACAGGCTCGACGGAAACGGAGTCGAGCCTCGAGTCTTCCTGCAGCAAGGATTCCGCTTCGACTTCCTCCTCCTTGTCGACGTCCTCCTGCGAGCCACCGTCGACGGTTTCGTTCGGCTCGATCACTGCCGCCTCCACCGGGACCAATAAAACTAGCGATACGACTGCCACTGCACACGTAACGTCCCGCAATTGCACCACAAGGACATCGCCGATAGCCTGCACTGACCTGAGCTCCGCCATCACTCAAGAATTGCAGAGGCGGGCACAGCAGGTAGGAGAGTTTCCGTGGCGACTTTTCCCCTTCGCGAAGCCAAATAATAAAACGCAGCTTGTTTTGTGCACGTTGCAATACAAGAGTTACCGGAATTCGGATTTTTATATACGATCGGTCGTATTCGTGACAAGAATGGCATCTATCTGACGCGGCGGTATTTATTGTTGTTTTGAAATTTTGATATATTCTATAAATAACCAATGACTCGTACCGCGACAATTGATAAAAATAATAATTAAAAAAAAGTCTGATCACATTGCGATTAAGTTTTTCTTTTTTTTCGAATGTGAAAAATTTAACTTACGTGTTTTAACAATTAGGAGAAGTTGTTCTTGGTAGCTATCTTTTGCACTTTGTTTGCCATATCTCGTACGTCATCTGCGAAGATAACTCTGCTGCCGATAGGTAAGATCTCTCTGGAACGTAATTCCAATTCATTTGCCGTAAGTTACTATACTATAGATGTAGATTCTTTATCGAATATACGAAATTCGCAGACCTAGCTTATCAGTGATCCCGTCTGATCCAATAATCGATACATTCTCACGGTATGACTAATTATCTAAGTTGATCATAAACTGCATCGCGAGATAGGCAATCAATTACTGATGGTATATATACACGTGATACATAATGCATGTATTTATCGTATTGTCTCTTTCAGAGAAACATGAACAACGCCGCTAAACTGGAAACAGGAAAGGAAAAAACCGCGGAACCTCGAAAGCCACAAAATCCAGAGGCTCTGAGGGCTCAGGAACAGAAAGTTACGCACGATAAGGTATTTAATGCATCCTCTTGCGATTCTATAGAAACAGTGATAAGATCAACGTAACATTAATCTTTATTAAGTTTACATGTCGAAGCACGATACGACACAAGAATTGAATTTAGTTCAAGTATACGGTACGAGACAATAAAATTCCGATGCGTTATGTTCTATGCTATCTTTTAAAGTCGGCGACATTTAAACTTTAACTAAACTCTACCTCTAACTCCAAAACAGTGCATTCATAACGTTGCTGTATTCATACGTCAAGCACTCATTATATCGCGTATTTCCTTGCCTCGTGCGAGAACCTGATTCTCGTATCACCAACACCCACTCAATCCCTTTCGTGGCATCCTAACGCTTGTCAGTTATATTTAACTACGCGAGAAGTTCATTCACTTGCGACAAACGGAAAATGTTGAAATTGAAATTACGCCTAACTGATCCCTTCGTACGACGGACGATCAATTAACCTTCTAAGGACGAGTTTTTAAATCCCTTGTTCGCTAGTGGACGGATTTAAATCGCTAGGCAAAGTTTAATTTTACGTGTTTTCATATAAATTATTGTAGTTCCTATAATTTCAAAGTTAATCAAATTAAATCAAGACTCAAGCTACTCAAAACAAGAAGAGAGAAACCGACGATATATCGGACACTCGGCTTTCTCAGATATTATATAGGTGTCGATATATCGGACGTTAGTAGTTAGAAGGTTAAGTATAGGCAAATATGTGATCGATGGGACGTTCGATTCGTCGATAAAAACGACAGATTCGGCAAAGCGTTTTTTCCTCGGTCGATGGAAGAGAAACGCGCGTTAATAAATTCATTAAAAAAAAAAAGGAAAAAAAAACGAAAAGCGTAATTAAAACGCGCGCAGATGCTGAAAAAACTGTACGGTAATAATGAGTAGAGAGCCGGTCTAATTAAAAATTGCGCGATGGTGCAAACGATCGAACTTTCGTACAAGAGCGTTCAAACGCGATTCACAGGCGCGCAGCTCGCTCGAACACGCTTCGATAAGTTTAGTTTCTGACCGAATCCGCGGATTCAGTGAGCCTTAATTTCATCGGACGACACTTTCGTTCGATTAGCTTCTAATTAATCATCGGCCGGAGGAATAATATTTGTAACAAAGATGCGATAAGACACGGCATTTAATTGTTTGCAGTTGATGGAGGAGTTTAAACGTGCTCACCGAAAGATGTTCAACACCGCTCAGCAAAAAGTTCATTTCTCAGATCAAGCGCCGGAGCAGGTAAGAGAATGATAATCCTTATCCTTTGTGGTAAATGAACGACCCATGATACACTCACACGCACATACGTACCGAAGTACGTGATTTCCTTTGGCGTGTCTATTGCAATATATTCGTGACATTCGCGTGAACGTGACATTTTTCTCGTTCTTGCGGTAATTTGCGGTAATAGTTCGGTACGGTTGAAAATATTAATTGAATTTTTAAAAGATTACAGAAGGAACGGTTTAAATAGAAAAAAAGAACGATGTAAACAGAGAAATTCCTTTCAAGTACGACGTTTAATACTTTCACCGTTTCCTTTTCTTTTTTTCTTTTCAACGGCGAAGACGTTACACCAGCTTACATCGAAAAGATTTCAAACCTAGGATAAAATTCCTCGAGTGCGACCGCGAATTAATCGCAAAGGGGGGAACGATACCTCTCGTAATAGTATAGTTCGATGGAAAGAGCGGAACTGAGAATACACGTGAGCGGTTAATTAAAAATCCTATTATAGCCATACTCGGAATTAAACTCGCGATGGAAACGCGTGTATATCTCGAGCGATATGCAATATAATATATACGCTTGGCAACCGAGCTCGGAGATTAAACATTGATATAAAAAGAACGGGAGAAAGGGGATGGGTTGAAGAAAAAAAAAAACGCGAAATGAACAAAGTTTCGGAGCCACGTCCTTCCAATTCTCGACTGACGAGATACTCTTGCACTCGTTTTGTAATTACACAATCTTCACAAAGATCTGCCAAAGCAAACAGATAACAGAGCCTCGACGATTACGAAGAGTTCGGGACGAAGAGTCGTTGTCTGTGCGAGTCTCGAAAGGAATTGAACGTACGTACGTGTGTAATGTGCAACGCAATACGCTCAGCTGCACCTGAATTTATGTACAAGCCGCGTTTTGTTAACTGTTATACACGCGCGTATCGCGTACGAACTGACGACGCGAGATAGAGAGACCGATCTTCCTTTCTTATAGTCACGTAAGTCTCGCCGTTCTGTCTCAGTCCGGATGAATCTGCCGCGCGATGCAAACGTTCGGTCCGGTGCAAACTTTCGTTGTTTCGCGGCCGTGGAACGCTAAATCAAATCCCTTAATTTAACTGAATCGCGGTTAACTAATTAAGCCTGACGACTGATTTCGATACGATACCGGCAACCGCGCGAAGGAAGCAGCGCCGTTGCTTTCTAAATCGACTCTGTTCGCTTGAACGATCCCGCTAATTAACGATCTACTAATCGAGCGATCACCGATTGTATTCCACGTACGCGATTTCACGTAGAAAAAAAGGCTCGATTATATGCTACTTCGACGTATCGCCACTTCCGATAAACGCGCGGATCACCTCAGGTTCGATGAGTCATTACGCAATTGATTTATCGGCGGGCGGTTGGTGTTGTTAAACGGACGGTTCAACGATTCGCGAAACAGTCGTTGATCGTTGGTACCCGCGATCGAATATTCGAATACACACGCGAGTGAACGTGAGTCAGCTGTCGCAAGGATTTTTCCTTCGGTTGACCAACATTGCGCGGTGGTGGTTGATTTCTTACGAATTGCGGCAGACGTGCAAAATAATAGAGCTTACATAAGAGCGCGAGTTACGCTCGTGACTGTTTTCAGTCGGCTTGAATCGTGCGATTGGTTTCAAGGTGGCTGTCGTCGTAGTGCACCGCGAAATGCGGCTCGGTTGTGATTAGCGAAAAAAGTGGTGTCGCACTCGGTGTTCACCGCAGCCGCTAATTCGCGTGGACGCGCGTAACTCGCGGAAAGTGCCGACGACGACGAAGCGTAGTTTTCGTTTCGCGATCTCGAGTTACGTTCGCGATCGTGCGCTAGTATTCTCCGAAAGGCTGTTCGTTAACGACTCGGAAGTGATTTACAAAAAGACGATTGAAATTGAACCGTTATGCGCTGCTGCTACTGCTGCTGCTGCTGCTGCTGCTGCTGCTAGCGGAGGAAAGTTATTCAGAGGAAAAATGCTAAGCTTTTGAAATTGAAGATATGAACGGTTTGCTGAACAACGGTGAACGGAGAAGTCGCGTGCTGGTTACCATTACGCCGTACGACGTTAGTTATCGAGTTTATCTGACCGATTAGCATTGAATTTCCATTTTCGAACAGAGAGAATCGTTTAGAATGTTTAAAGTGGAAATCGAATGCGTATGTTCGTAATCTTGACTAAATTTTAAAACAACCTTCGAGAGATTAAATAAATTTAAAAAAAATGTTATCTGCGAAATTAAATATGTATCTGTCTATTATATCTTTTCTGCTATACATGTAGATGTACCAAGTTTACCATACTTATCTTAATCTTACTGAATTGTCACTAGGAGCAAGAAAAAAGGGTATTGAACACGTCGACGACGCCGACGAACAACGTACCGCCGGCACCACCGGCACCTCCAGCGCCTCCAGCGCCTCCAGCACCACCGGCGCCACCAGCTCCGCCGCCGCTTCCGCTTCTTTCGAAGGCTAAAAATATCGAAGATTCCGTGGAGATGCAAAGCATAGAATCTTTCAAGTTAAAAGAGACTCCAAACCCAGTGATTCCAAAGCCACCGCCAACTTACTTTCCCATACAGAATAACTCAACGGCCACGTCGAACGGAAGTCCTCGACACGGCGCCGGAAATAAGCCGCAGGTGAATGGAAAGGAGTCGTCGCCGAGTCCTGTGTCGGAAACGACGAAAGCGGCCGTGTCTCCGGCGGTTGCAAACGCGCAGAACTTGAAGCCAGCCACCGGAAAGGTCGCCATTAGGATAGGTGCTTACGAAGGAGAAGCTAAACAACCGTCTAAGCTCGACTTCCTGTCGCAGCAGTCTCGATCGGACAGAAACGGCACGGACGAATTGGCGAATGGGCCAGTAGTGTCGAGATTGCAGAACGAATTGGCTGCCACGTTACAAAGATCGAACTTAAGAAGAAAGACTGACGGGGTGAGTTGAATTGTTTCGTTTTATTCGTTTGAAAAAAAAAGAAAAAGAAAAAAAATAGACGAAAGTTGGAGCAAAAAGTTATCAAGTTGTTGGAAGATAAGCACGATACTTGGAGAGACAATTATGTCCCAAGGCATAAAACAACCGATAAAGGTATAAATTACTTTAATTACACGTTTGTCGCTAATCAGCGTAATTACATGTAAGGCGAAGAAAAATATCTCAAGGTGACGGTGAATAGAACAAAGTATTTTTAACTTAAGAATAATTTTCTACTTTGTTTCAGGAAGCACAGTCAAATATTAAAACGATTCCCGAGAACCCAGCTGTGTCCAATAACGAGACAACGAACCCAGAACCGGGAAAGTTGCCACAGAGTAACGTCGAAAAGCTCGCGTCCGCTCTCAACAACAAAGTCACCATCAAAGTGAACCCGGAACATAATAATCGATAAAAAGCTAGCTTCCGTTTATAAAAGAGAAAAAACAAAACAAAACAAAAACAAACAAAAAAAAAAAGTATAAGTCAAAACGAACCGTTTTAGGAGTCCACCATGTACCTCTTCCACTTTGTACATTTTTGCACGCTCTTTGAATTTACATCGATTTTTCATTCTAGATGAAAGAGCGCTCCCCCTATTGGTGAGCTTCTTTTTTACACGTCTTTTACCTGTATGTCTTTTTTTATATGTTATTTATTATCGTATTATAACAAGTAAGGAGTAAAAAAAAAAAAAGGCTAAAATACCTATAATTAACCGAAATGACAGGCGCTGCGAAACCTTTTACCACGTAGGCCCGAGTCTTTAAAAAGAAACTTAGTCTCCTCCGTCGCCGACTAATGTACGGGTCGTAAGATTCGATGGAGGCGTTGAACTGAAAAATAAAAACGATGATACCTAATGGAACCAGACTGTTTCTTCACTTTTTTCCCTAGTGTGATAATCCTATTATGAAAATTCGATCCCTTGTAAATTACTCGAATGTTAAAAAATTGTACGTTGCTCACTTTTATAACGCGATTCAAAATATACGATTTTCTCTCAAATGAAAACGAAGTTATTCGAACGGCATGTATCATAAATAGTTCAGATAATCAAGATTCTACTGTCTTTCAACGTCAGTAATTTCACTTTTATACAACTTCAAGCTTCAGCGCTCTATTGAAATTGGGAAAAATTATAAACGCACCCTAACAGCCTGACAACAGATTCGTTGTATTCAAAAGTAATTAACCTCTCGCGAACGAACTCGTTGCACAAATCGGTTATACATCCAAAAAAATTCATCGGTGCTGCTGAAATGACGTAGATGACACGATTAGACAGTTCTTCGTTTTGTATCTTTTTATAACAAAAATTCGACCCTATGCACCCAGTATGCGAAGACAAATTTCGTCATCAGACGAGAAACTTGGAGTTAGAGGAGAACAGAATTCAAAAGTTATTGGCATCCGAGTACTCTGATTTCGCTGACGCAATTCTCGTGGAATCTCCGTTTGCCGAAACAGCCAGAAATGGTCGTGGAATTCGACAAGTTTCTCTTGGTCTCACGCCATCCAAGTTAATTGTGGCAGCTGACGTTTTCAGAGGAAACTCGCAATTCTTCTGTCCACCGACAGTCGATCCTAGCATTGAAAGTTTCGAGCTTATTTCTCTGTACCCTCTGCGATGCGTTAGTTTGAGCGTGTTCAACAGAAGACGTCGCAAAACCTTAAAGGCAAGGTAGAAATTGATCAAGAAATAACAAAATACAAAATATAAAGATATCAAAGATGAAAAGTTAACTACTTTTTCGTTACCGTTTCGCTAATCTTTCTATATTTCCAGCAATGAGTAAGACATTTATTAAATAACGTTTTAACCAGTAGTAAAATCATTAGATTCATCGATGGAAGAGTAAGCTATTACGAACTCGGTGGAATACACAGGAGAAACGTTCTCTGGAAAAAATGGTGCGAGCAGGTGGAAAGTTTGCTCGCGAACAGGATGAACGGAAGCTCGTTATCGGAAACAACTGCTGCAAGTTCAGCGAGCAGTTCGACTTTATACGTTCTTTCTTCGGAGATCGAGATTCGTAAAGATATCAGAAAGAATGGAGAAAGAGCAACGTGCAGGTGATTCTTACGTTACTTGATATTCATCCGTCCATTCACAACGAATCCAACGAATAGTAACGTAGTTTCTAATTAAATACAGAGTATGGACTCACTATGGAGGCGCTGGTGATTATACACCCGCCACATGGCGTCAAAAGGACTTATACCTCGGACCGTCTTACACCGAGCTGGTAGGTGGCCAATACACTCCTGTTCCCGTAAGATTCGCTGGCGCCAGTTTGGAAGACATTAAGGCCGAATTAAAAGATTTCTCTCCGAGTCAGGTCGATAAAGGCTGTCGCAGTTGGCCTACGTGTCGCTGTTTCAAAGAGAAACACAAGAGCGATGGTCTTTGCGATGTGATCTTCGTCAGAGACCACAGTCGCAAACATTACAATACGACGAAATTCTACGCGACCTGTCAAACTTGTCCTTTAAGAGAAAGAATTTTTCGAGACAAAATCAGCGAAAAGCGTCGGTACGACGGAGAAACGTTGGACGAAGCAAAATGTAAAAAATTGACGGGGAGGATATCTCGATTTGGTTTCGGAGTTCCAGAGAAGTGTCACTCGGGGTTGGTTCTTGGTCCAATCCACAGGGAACCAAATAGCTTCTCAGTGAGATTTGGTGTCAAACCTGTGTTCAATATTTACGTGCTCATGGAAGATGCCGTGAAAGTCTGGGAGGGCGAAGAAAGAGGTCAAAGCAAATCCTCGAAACATTTTAAACATTTCAGAAGATACGGCCTCTGCAGTGCGCCTCATTTTCTTTACGCGTTTGGTCCCTGGTCAGTGCAAACTGGAGAAAGAACCACTCTTCAGGGTCGAAGATCCTTCAGTCTGGTCACCATTCGACGACAACCTGCTGACTCAGAATTGAAGCTTCCTGTATCACGTCGTCAATTGGCAGCTAGCATTTCGTATGCTGAACTTCAGTATGGCAGGTTTGGATCGATCGGTACTACTACTGCGAAGAGACGAGTTGTGTTGTTTTGGACACCGGAATACTGGTATCGTCCTAGACCTGCCTTTGCAGCTTACAGGTAATAACTAAAACTAGGATCATGTTAGAAAATTGACTCTGAATCAGAATATTTTAAATTAAAATGCACAATCAATTAATTACAATCAATTTTAGGCTTGCGTTGATCGTATTAATTCTATTGCAACAGGGAGCTGAGACGACACTTGAACCAACTGAGAAATTTCCGCCAAGAGAAGGAACGACCATCGAAAAGGAAATTGTTCTCTAGGAAAAAAAAGTGCCAATGCGAAGAGGATTCAGTCATCATCCCTGAAGAGAAGCCTAGCTTCCTAGAACGGATTTTTTCGGGGAATGGATCTTGCAAGAGAAAGAAGAAATTTGAATACCAAGAAAATAGCACTACTATTCAGTTAAGAAGTTTATTAAGAATGGATTTCAGAATAACGATTTGGGATATAAATAGTGACACTCTAGCGAAGCAGCTGACGCTCATCGATCGCGACCTTTTCGTCCGAATTCCTGCAGAGGAAATTGAGATCTTGGTCTTTCAAAGAAGCTCTAGAAATGCTCCTAATTTAGCAGCGTGGATAGCATTCAGTCATCGAATTTCATGTCTGATCGGCAGTGAAATTTTGGGCGTGAAAAAGTTAGCTATGAGAGGTAGAATTGTCGCGAGGCTAGTAAACGCTGCCAGAAAGTGTTTCGCCATGAGGAATTTCCATTCGTGTAGATCGATCTTGGCAGGATTGCAGTCGCCTCCGATTTTCAGGTTACGAACTACTTGGGATTATTTGCGTATTCATCATGCTAATAGGTACTAATATCGTCTAGCTATTTTACTAATTCCCCATTATACGCATCTGTATGTTCAATAAAATGTTTTGATGATACAGATATGAAATTATGGAGAGATTTTGCAAGATTTACAAGAATCCATGTACTTTGACGTACCGACGAGCTTGGGCTAAAGTTGAAAAATATCCACCTTGTATGCCACACGTGGCTGACCTTCTGTTGAGAGTTTTGCATCTAAATAATCTGGAATATCATCAAGATAATAATGTTATCCACAAAAATGATAGGACAAATCCTTCAAACAATTTAACTGCAAAATTCATTAACGTAAATAAGGATATATCGTTGAAAAGTGATCCGGACTCGGAACAAAAGCAAAGCTCTGGCAAAAGTTTCCTTAATTCCTTTTTAACCAAGATAAGATACAAAAAGGATCAAAAAACAATTTACGAGGAAAAGACGGATTTAACATGGACGACGAGGAAACAGGATTTAGCGTGGAAATACTTCTATCGTTGGTACAACGCTATTTTAAAGAATAAAATTCGTAACAAAGAAGAAGAAAGATTAAGGGATATGGATCCAAGGATGAAACGTGTTCTCGAAGTCGCGACCTGGCTAGCAGATTGTCAGAAACGAGCTCAAGGATACGAGTTCCCGGTACATTCGTTCACGAAAGAATTTTTATTGAAGACTCGATATAGGGAGGATCGGGAAAACTTTTTTATTAGTCTGAAATTAGAACCGGCGATGATAACTTGAACAAAAAGGATTAAAATGCTTGGCAGTTTATTGACAATAATAAGAAGGAAAGATGAATAAGAAAACGAGTTTTTAAATGAATTAATAGTACTTGAGTACTTACTAGATTGTCAAAATAGATTTACCTCAACGCGTTAAGAAAGATGTTACATAAAAACCTTCATAAACGATGGTAATTGTTAAGTCCTCCATAGGAGTGATCAGAGTTTTCAACGCAATTTAAACACTCTTCGGATAATTCATCGGCATGATTAATCTCGTGGTCATCGATCAGGGGTATGCTGTAGGCTACAATATAACGACATACAATATAAAATAAAAACAATACGAAGAAGAATGAAAAAATAGAACAAAACGTAAAAGAATTGTAAAAATTAAGTAAATTTATATATATATATATATACACACACTATAGAGAAAGAGAAATATATATATATATACATTTTATATATACAGCGATCGCTTATTGAAACAGTGTATCTACACGTGCTTTATACTTATATATTTATATATATTATCATTTTAATAAAAATTTTAGATTCACTTACATATTCAAGACAGTTATTCGAACGATTCTTTCGAAAAAAATCTCACAAATATCCGTTGAACAATGGCAACAAGATAAATAATTTTCTTCAATCATTTTTTTATTCCGGATACATTCATATATATGTATATTCTGAACATATATATATATATATGTATTTATACATACATATATATATGTTCTGAATATAATATACACAAAATTGTTGCTATACATGTGCACATATTTCTTTAGTAAGATTCATTTATCAGTCGTAAACTTAAAACGGAGTGTTTATGATGGCCGGAAGAGTAAATCTCTGAACAAAAAACACATTCACATCAAGTTCTCTTGACTAGATAACAATGTAACTATTGTATGTACAATCGCAAAATATATATATTCAAGTCAATTTAACAACGAACGGAAAAAAGGGACGTATAGAATGATCAACGTAGAATCCAGTGGGAACAGTGTTCTTTTAACATCTAACACCACGACAATTGACAGAACGTTTAGTTCGTCTTCTTATACAATAAACATTTCGAATGATAACTGTTCAAATACTTTCTTTTTCATATACTTCTTGTTTCTTTTTTCTTTTTTTCTTTCTGTAGTACATATTTAGAATGTACGTTACGTTCGTGTTCGCGATCGAAAGCTGAATTCCTTGTCGCCTTACGTATCGCCAGTCGAATTTTTTGTTCGTTTCTTAAATTCATCCCTATTCCATAAAAAAATCACGTTCCCGTTGAACCACGAAAACAAAATATACATTTGAGGTGCATAATGATTCTCTGCTAAATTCTCAGCTAACGTAAAATGCTTTTAGAAATACACCTCATTTAAATGCACAAGATGGCAACGATAATCGTTACGACGATTAAAAGTACGACCTATTACGAGATGAGGTTCGAAGTATATAATAAATATAATAAATCTCATGGAGTATCAAAAACAATTATGTAAGGTACAAGTAGAGTTTCTCCTTGTTTTCCTTTTTCACTCGCGCGTGGTCTTAATGATTTAAAAGAAGGAATACTTCTCCTTAAAATTGTCGTTTGATAGTCTTTCTAATACTATTTGTTACAAGGCCCATCATCTACAATCGTAAAATCTCCTTTTTTCAAGAGAAGAACGAGCGAGACATTGAATCAGTAGTAAAACACAGTAGACAGGCGTTACGTAGGGCTTGGCGAGTGCCAAATTCCCAGAAAAAACTTTACTTCTCTTCTCTCTCTTTCCTTTCGTTCTTTTCTTCTTCGTCTCCTTTTCTTTCTTTTTTTTTTTTTCTTTTTTTAAATTTCTGCTTTCATTGCTCGAAAAAAGTACGTATATATAGAATATACATCTCTGTAGATTATCTAACTAGATGAATTAAGATCACATGCCGCCAGGTTTCGGAAGATTTGTATCGTAAGCTCTGATCACGTCCGTCTGTGTCACCGAACCTCCTTCCTCTTGAGAGAATGCAAATCCATCTGTAGCGCGCAGCATGTGCAACAACAAAGATCGCAACCTATTACTCTCTGTTATTACAACATTAGTTAATTAACACACATGCATTATCTACAAGAAGAGAATTAGTTCTTATTTAGTAGTACTACAATCGATGTTAGAACGTATCTATCTACGAAACTGTCGGTTACTCTTTTCTAAGAATTCAGGAGAACCTTCAAATTAATATTACACAAGACGAACGTACGGGTTAGCTTAACAATGAAAAATTAGTGAAAGTAGAAGTTTTGTGACGATAACAACGTTAGTGTAATTTATAAGCTAATAATTACACAGCGTATACATAAATATTGTTAAGGCGTATGCACGTGCGAAAATTGTGAGAAATTGCTTATTTCGAAAAATCTTCGCTTTTTAATATACTAAATAGGCGGAAGCCGTGAATAGGGAAGCGCGTGCTATTAGATAAATATATTGATTAGTAACGAGTAATAAGTAAAGAAAATACTACAAACGGCGAGCATAGAAGACAGAGAATTTGTACAAAAGAATAGTTATTCTGATTGTCCTTATTTTTCTTTTTTTTTCTGCTTTTCTTGATTGCAGCCTGTCGTTAGACAAATGAAATAACTTACGTGATAGTTCCACCTCGGTATTAACTCTGGAGGCGGCGTTTGATCGCCTGGTGAAAACACTTTTTACGTTTTTCAGTAGCCGCGCCGTCTCCGTCAATCTGGAAAGCCGTGTATTCAAAATTGTTTTAGAAACACTTGTCTAGCTATTGGCCGTTTTCTCATCCTTAAACTTCAAATTCGATATTCTTTTCTCTCAACAATGTTCGATGAACAATATATCTCGCGTGTAGCCTTCTCTTCACCGACTATCTAATGCTTGCTTCTCTAAATTAATTCATGCGGTGCTAAAAATATTAACAAGTGCGAATCTTTCTGCTTATAACTCTTCTAATTAATTACATTTAAACTGTTCTTCATATTTTCTATTATACTTTAGATATAAATAATTTTCCTTAAGATTGTATGAAAATTATTTGATAGAAGAGGTTAATACGCTAAAAGAGGAAATTTACAGTATTGTATGATCTTACGAATTTGAATAGACACGATATGAAAACTAACCGAAATATTAATAAAATAAAAAATATTTACGAACATCATGATTCATGTTCATAAATTTTTTAGTAATTTGAATGAATTCCTGATATACCTGTTCTATTTCAATTTCTATCCTTACATGTTTCGAGTATTTGCATTAGTAAATGTATAAAAAGGTTCGTGACCGTGACACATGTGCTAATAATTATTCGTACTGCGGTGCCATTGCAAGTGAAACGTCGAACGATCATGCAGTTTGATCAAGTAGCTGTGCTTTTGCCTGAAAGTGTAAAATTACAGGAGCACTATTAGTTACGTACAAACTACTAGGGGTACTTACACCTCGCGAGTTCGGCGATGGCATGCACAGGCCTTCACGGGATACCACGAATAAAACATACCAGAAAATCGCATTAACAAAGAGAGTACTTGCTTCATACTGATGATCGTTTTTTTCTTTTTTTTTAATGATTTGCCAACTACGGAATTAATTCACTTTCAAAACGACCATGTCCGTGTCCGTATTGCTTATAATATTCTTAATTGTGTATTTTTTAAATTCAGCTCTACTCTTTAACCCAACTGATGTGCAAAACGATTGAAAATAAACTAAAGAGAAAATTAAAGAATGAAAGTTTTTCTATATTTGTATGCTACGATACTTCAAAAAAGCCTCGATGTTTGGTCACTGCTGGGACAGTACAACACTACAAAATATAATTATCAATTCATATTGCAAATCATTAGAAATAAATTATAGTATTAATACAGAATGAAATATGAAATTAAATACAAAATGAGAACTAATGAATGAACTACTATGAAGAAATAGAGATATGTTCAATGAAATTCCTCAACTCCCTTTCCGCTACTGTACTATATTGTATCTAAGCATAGCTAAGCAAGAATGGTTTTACTTCTATTAGATAGGATAGATATATAATAGATTTTATACTATATTTATATAGTATACAGTCATACTAGTCTCTAGTACATTATAATATTCAATGTAATAAAATAAAAGTAAATACCTTTCACTACAACATTAAAAAAAAAGGCAACACTAGGTAGGTATAGGTAAAGGGTATATAAAATGGGATGCTTACAGATTTTACAATGAACGGGAATTTGTAGAAAATCTTTTGGAACATGGAATACGGAATGATGTAGTTGAAACATGCTCTGTATGGCGAGTGAACCATAGATCATGCGCTGCGAGCGCAATCGGATAGATTCTGATCTTATTTCGCCTTCGTGGCGACCAAATTGAGGTCCAACACCGAATTAACCATCGCCTCTTTGAATATGACTTCGACCTCCTGTTGCAATTTTCAGTTTTCTACTTAATTGAGATAATTAAACGTTAAAAATATAGTTATTGTTAGAAAGTTTCAACATAATAGATCACACCGGGAAATTATTCGGTCTTTGAAAAAAATCTATTATTAAGAAAGCAAATTGTATCATTTTTAACAAGAAATTATATATCGCTATATGCATGCATTAAGAGATATATTAATTTCAAAAGTTTCATAGGAATTATTATCATATAATAATGACGAACGCTAAAATTTGATGTCATCCTAATGTGAATGTGATTTGTTAAAATGTTACATTCAATAAGCCATGCATATTGAACATTAATAAATAATTTTATTTTTGTTAATCTACCAATTTTTCATGCAATGTATAGTGTTATCTGAATATATGCGAATTTTTAACCTCATATGCAAAAATATTATTGATAAGTTACCAATATGAATTATTAAAAGCATATCTTGTTATTTCATGTCGGTCTTTTAAGTTTGAATCTTTATAATTTATACCAAAAATATATATAAAAAACTTACGAGCTTCTATAATCATGACTGTTGAATATATCCCCAGGATCCGATTTCCGAATTTCATTTTCTCTAGCTGCCGCAGTAACGGATTTCCAGATAGTATTCTTTACTCTGTAACAAAATATATTTCAAATATATTTAAATACTATACCAAGATAATTAATGTATAAATTACTTACGCCTTAATTGTAACATCCACAAGTAGTACTGCTGATGGTATAAGTACTAAACCCAGCCAAAATACAGGTGAAGAAAATAGCATTCTATCATTGCCTAACATCACTGCACCCACGTTTAAAGCAGGCCAAAAATTACTGCAATTGCATTAATAAATGGTTTCAATATTTCCTAATACAAAAATAAAGATATATTAAGGAACTTACCTGTATATAAGAATAAATAAGAACCAAAGCATAATAGATCCCCAAGTTGCTAAATGAGTGACCCACGTCCAAGAGTTTATTATTAGTCCTGCTTTTCCACACACTGTTACAACTACGTACTATCAAAATATAAAATTTTTTTATGAAGAAATAATTAATAGCAGAAAAAGGCAATTATGAAATTGAAACATACCGTGTATACAAAATTTCCTAAAATAATATATCCACCATCTCGGCCATTTGCCCACACCACACCTTCTTTTAGAACCATCAGTGATAACCAATAAAGAAGAGAAGAATGTACTAGAGCATTTGCAATCCAAATCCAAAATACCTGTAAAAGCAATGTCGAAATTATATAAAATTTTAAATATAATGTCAAATATAATTAATAGCACACAAAGAATATACCTTAATATTAAATGACGATTCTCCAGTATTTTTTGTAGCATATAATCCTGGGTGAGATAAATGAGTTTCTGCGGAACATACTTTGTCAAAAAGACCCATAGCTAATGGAGGTGCTGCTGTAAATACCTAAAGTAAACAATATACCTTGTATATGCATGTATACTGATAGCAATACAATGTAATAATTATATAATATAAACCTATAACTTACAACATTGTAAAGACCAATCGACCATCGCTCAAAAAGGATTTGTCCAGACCAGCCGGAATAGATGGCAAACCACAATTCAATAACATACAAACAAATATTCTTATAGAATGAATACAATATTAATTTACACATTCTACTATAATTCCATGAACCATGGACAAATAATAAACGTTTCAAAAAACGAAATTGTGCAATAGAATAATCAGAAGCACAAGCTGCTTGAAGTCCTTCAACACCAGAAATTCCTAGAAGCAAAAAGTATATATATATATATATTTTTCTTGTTTGTCATCAAGATTAAGAATTAAATAACTTACCAACGCCGATATGTGCTTTCTGAATCATAGCTACATCATTTGCGCCATCTCCAATAGCAAGTGTAACAGCCTTTTTGTTACTTGTTATCAAATCAACCACCTGAAAAACTTTACTACTATTGTTTTTGTTAAGAAATATCAAATAAAGATTAAATAAATTTAAGATAAAAATCACCTCAGCTTTTTGCATTGGTGAAACTCTGCAACAAATAACAACTTTGCAAGATGAACATAAATCTAGAAAATCCATTCTAATATCACAGGATAATGCAAAGTCTAATGTATTTCCATCTATAATTAGAGCTACATCGTTTTGACACTTTAAATCAATTCCAAAATCAAGACAACGCTGTATTATGACTTCCCTTGTTTTCTGTAAACAATTAATCTTGAAAATCTTAAAAAAAAAAAGAAAGAAGAAATATTCTAAATATTTTCTTACATCTAAAGATGATTCATTAATGATATACAACGGCATTCCATGTGTAATCAATCTACAAGAATAGCCAATATTTATGGCAGTTTCTTGTTTATCTCCAGTTAATACCCAAACATTAATATCAGCTTGTAAAAGAGCCTGTATTGTTTCTGGTACCTACAATATTGTAAATTCCTGTCATTCATTTTTAAAAATATATATAAAAAAAATTAACGTCATACATACCTGATCCTGTAATTGATCTTCAATAGCAGTTGCTCCTAATAATCTTAATTTTGTTTCAATAAGATTTGCTGCATTTTCAATCATGCTTTCACGATTTCCTATACTAATTGTTGCATTATGATAAGTTTCACGCCACCACTATTGAAAGGAAATTAACGTTATAATCTTATTAAAAATAAATAATATGTAATTCAATTAACAATAAAGAATATGTACCTGATAAAAATTGTCAGGTATATCTGCAACGGCAAAACAAAGTGTTCTTAAACCTTCGGATGCAAATGCTTCTAAATGTTCCAAAGTTACATTTCGAAAGTCGTCAGAACTACTCTGTTCAAGATCATTATTATCTAAGGAAACTGGACATAACCTTTCGTAAATAACAGAATCAGCTCCTTTACAAAGAAGTTTGATTTTTCCTTCTGGTGTTTTTATAATTACAGACATTCTTTTTCTAGCTGAAGTAAATTCTATTACATTTAATATTTCATAACGAAGTCTTTCACCGAGAGCTACTATTTCCACATAAGAAGGTGTTCTAGTATCGAATACGTAGTTAAATTTACGTGCTCCATCTACTAGTGCTCTTTCATCTATTTAAACAATCATGTATAAAATTAAACTACAAACAGCTTTTTAAAATATAAATAAATTATATATAAATTTATATTACCTGGAGATGCAGCATGATAAATTATAGTTTCATCAACTTTCTCAGGAATAACAGTATGACACACTGAAAGCATAATCATAAATTCATGTACTACTTTTGCATGGTTTGCAGCCTTCTTATCAACAGGACGAGGAGAATCTTGTACTGATCTTCCTTCAACAACATCTCTAACTAGTTCACTATTGACACTAGTACCAACTTCATTGCCATTTATATTTGGATTTGGCAAACTTTAAAAACATTGTTTTTTTAATACAAGAATAATTAAATATGGTAAAATGTAGTAAATGAAATTACTTAAAATGCTTACTCATACAACTTTCCACCAATTGAACATCGTTTAAACTCCATTACATTTTTCGTAAGAGTTCCTGTTTTATCAGTAAATACATAGTTCACTATGCCAAGTTCTTCATTAAGATTGCTTGTACGTGCCATTGCAGGTGTATCCGTTTCTGCATGGTACATTTCAATATCCATATTAATGAATGTGGCTTGAACAAACCTTACTACTTCTAACGTGACTTGCAATGAAATTGGTATTAAATTATTAAATAAAATCATAAATGTTAAAAGATTAAAAGCAAAGTTTTTAGTCATTTCCTCTGAAATAAATAAACGATTATTTAGTTTCGTGACTATCTTTGTAAAAAATTGAGGAAGTAAGTAATTTCTCACCTTGCAAACCTAAATACCACAATCCATAACTATTAGCTTTAGTCCAAAGAACATTAAATATTGCAGATAAAAGGCACAGCAAAAGAAGTATAAAGAACAACATGAGTATTTGTGTATTGGTCAGTCGGTCCAAGGTGGACCTTTTTAAGGGTGCAGTTGTTGTATTATTTTGCATAAGTTTTGTATCATGGCCTGTATAGATTACTACACCAAACACCCAACGTGTATTTCTTAGCATTGCACCACGAAGCAATACTTGATCAGGTCCCAAAGCTACAGATCTAAAAAATGGAATATACAATTCTTACATGTAACTATAACATTTACTAGATTTTCGTAAGAAACAATCATACTGTTTATTAGTTTCTCGCAACACTCCATTAAACTCATATAAATGTCTATTTGGTGGTTCACACTGAATATTTGCACGAAAATTCATTAATTCAGCAGCATCTAAGAGACTGGCAGTGTCAGGATGGGCCTGTCGTATCTTCAAATTTGTTTCTCCATCCAAATTGGCAGTCTCTATGAAAGACATACCCTGTGGCTCCGATGATGATAATAAGATCAAGTCAGCAGGGAAGAAATTGTTGTTGTGGACCTATGCATATTAAAGAAAGCGAGTCTAGCGGGAATATCTTAATTATTAATAATTACCACATCCATGAGCTTGAAGAAAATAGGGTGCAACCTTAACCACATCACCAACAGCAATATTTCTCCATTGTATCCACTGCCAATGGCCATCCCTCAAAACTTCCACTTCACGCATATTAATTTCATCATCCGCTCTATGTCTTTTCTGAAATTAATAATATCAGTTAATATTTATTATTGGATAATAAAAACATAATTTATGTTCAGGAATACTTACAATATCTTCAACTATTTCCTTCAATGCAGATACACTAAGAATAAAAATTAATGGAACCAAAGTCGTGTATCGACCTGTAGGCGATACATCCGGTATTTGCTAAAATTAAGAACAAATTGATTAAGAGAAAAGACAATTTGAATGCTTGTACATTTACTGGAAATTTTGGGAATAATACCTGCATGAGAGCGATGAATAGGAAGAAGCAATTACTATATCGACGAAATTGTTCAAAAAGAAACATAGGTATAAACGAAAGAAGTGAGTACTTTGCGGTAGTAATGCGATTGTTTTTATATTTCGCTGGCTGATGAGGAGCATTTATGAAAACCACCCTTTCCTCGCTGCTATCATGTTGATGCGAAGACCGTTGATCGTCACCTTGGGATGCACCATTTTCCGCTCTTATGGGACCAACTGTGATAAAATATATATTATTTTATATTATTTTTTTCTCATTTCAAAATAATAAATTACGGTCGTCGTATACGAAAGAATTATCGAGTAATATATACCATATTATTTCTTAATCAATTGCTATCATTTTACAATAAATAACTTTAAAGATATTCCTTATATTATAATATTATAATTGTCGAGTATGTACGAGATTCAACCAGCCATCTATATTTTTTCTTAATATATTGACTTACGATTTTGAGCGTACAAATAAAGTTGAAACCGGGATCTGAGTTCGTTGAACCATTGTACCACTTTCGTACTAGCTATTTCCATGTTACCGCTTGTCAAATGAAATGTCTTTCACATCACTTCTCTTTGGCACTTCGATCCATATTTAATACGCGATAAGACAACAGTATTACAAACACAATCTTAACACGTGTGATATTGCTTAGTGATATGATCGAATGATTCGAGGTTATAAAGTCAGTGATATTTCATATTTCTTTCCTTTAAATTGCGTTGAAAAATAAATTGTAAAACGAACTCAGTGTCTAGAGACGAGAGGGAAATCAGTGGTTTCACTATGTTATTTAAGAAGAAAATGACGTAGTTCGGGATTGTATTATCATCTTGTAGGTTATAGCTGCATATCTAAAGAGGAATTCCATAAAAAACTTTTTTATCGCGGTCAATAAAAAGTAACATACGTCCAAGGAAAATTCTACTTCAATTGTGATTAATATCTTGATGACCATTGAATTTTTAATTTAACTTGTATGTATTGATAATTTTTAAAAATTATTTAATTCAATTTAAAAAATAAATTATATCGCAAAATGCTAAAACAAAACGTTAGTAACGTGTAAAATTATATTTCGTAACAAAAATGTTTGTTGAAAAGTTGCATTTTAAACGATTTTACATATAAAGTGTAAAAATTGCAGTTCAAGCAAAATTTATCGGAATCTGTTTTCAAGGACAGTCGGATATGCCAATACTATGACTGCCTTGATACGAGAACTGACTTCTGTGAATATATGTATATATTGCGAGTATCTGAATATATGTATATATTGCGAGTATCGAACATTCACACGCTAATTGCTTCTACATTCAAATCGTATTATGCAAACCAAAAAGTGCATAATAACAGACTCGAGATGCGGGTGTTGAATGATTGTTCTTTGATAGTGCACACATCATTTCATGACACGCGTGCACGCAAAATATTTGAGCTTATATATTCCATAGTTTCTCAACACTAATCATGTAATAATTACTTCCGGTGATGTATTATCCATTCGTACGTCAGCACTACCAAAACAGTTGTGTAACAAGTAGTTGAACGTGATCGAATTTGCAAATGAAAAAAACAGCTTATTAGATACGACGGGAATATATCGAATCGAATATAATCGATCAAAGAACGAGAAACATTAATCAGCACTGAATATTCAAAGAATACAAATTTCTCTAATTATGTTATTCGTTATTGATTAAGAAGTAACGATCGAACCGACTGTACGACTTTGACGTTTCATAAGCCACTTCTAATTTGTTGAATCTACGGAAGAGAATAACATAGATAGTCAACATTTTGTGAAAATCTACGCACTCCTATCGTAAAACGGTAGTCAACATACATTAGTCGAACACTTTTCAACTCAAGATAACGATCGGTTAAACACACTACACATCTGCGTCATCGTGCCGGAAGAAGCCTCAAGCTTATCGCCACACCCCTGCTGACTCAACGAATACACGGATATACATGCAACACAAGCCTACGAGTTAATCCGCATTGAATCCGTTCTCAAAAATCAGGAATATATCTCACAAATATTTTCGGATCGAGAGTTTCCGTAACCATATCACTGCCTGCAAATTTGCCCGAGAGACACTGATTCTAGTTTGTAGGTGGCACTGGTCATCAGGTCTTCTTTACCGAGGTATATATCTGATCCACTAAATTGCCAACAATTAGATAATTTATACACGCAATTCACATTATTACTATAATTTTGCTTACAATCGTGAACGTCCAATTATATTCTCACTCGTATTATTCGCATTATATAATAAATGACAACGGATAAAAAATATTATTTTAACTAAGGGAAACAAAGAGAATAATTTTCAGTATGAAAATAATCTAATAAATGGGTACGTTCATATTCCGAACGTTATAATGTATAATACGGAAAAGATCTATTTAAAACGTTGAACACTTGGGTTACTTAGAGGCATAGGCTCTCAAATGGTCTAGTACACTACTGTCAAGGGGATGTTCGTAGAATGCGACAGCCCTGTACACGTGTTACCCCAAAAACGCATGCGCCTGTTACTGGCAACAAGTTGGCATCACCACCAACCAAGCTTTACTTCGCCAGCATTTTCCATGAATACGTAGACATGTATTGTAAGGTTGCGTCAATAAACAACCTCGGTACTTGTAGACTATAGGCCAAGGACACTTCCGCTGGGGTGGACTATAGGTAGCCCCGCACCACTCACATTATACCTTATTGGACGATTCGTTCATGCTATTGTGGTAGAGTATAACGATACGTACGCAAAGTATGAAGATTAAGAAAATATCTTAATACATTTTCACTTCTTAATTATATTATTTCAGAATGCATCTTGAAGAAAACAATAGGAAACAAGTGCATCGTTCAATATGAATATTCGACAGCAAGTAGAAAAGCATTCCTTACTCCAAAATCTTAGGATTTAAATGTACTACAGATATATGTATTGCTATTCAATAATTCAGGTCTCAATCCTGCCAAAATGTATCTACCATATAGCTTTTTGACTGCAGAGAATAATACAACACTATGGCTAGTTATTTACGGTCGTTTATTACTGTCTCTTTATATTTATAATAGACTAGTAATAAAAAGTTTAACTAATAATAGAAAAAAGACTATTACTAATAATAGAAAATCTTTCCAGTTAATAATTACTGCAAATAGTAGCCTATGGATATATCTTACCTTCGGAAGTGGTTTCATGTACTCCAGCCTCTTGCAGTTCGATGTGTTCGCGTCCCCTCCGACGTCCACTCGGCAGAGGATCTATACGTAGGCCAATATTATCGACATTATCAATATTGCCGAGATCGATGGGGCTACCGATGATATATGGGCCGGATTGTTCTGGGACACCATCGTTGGCTCGACCGCTCACAGATGAGGAACTGTTACGACCACCGCTGCTTTGCGGCGGTGTACCGTCCATATGAGGTATAGAAGAAAGATCCGGAGGTGTAAATGGACGTAATGAGCCAGGAATGGGAACCTGGGGGCTCCCCCTGGTAGTTGGTTGCATTGAACGCAGCGGAGCCTAAATCAGATCGAATTCATTAATGTAATGCACTGCTGGCTATCTTAATATCTGGCTTGGGAAAGGTGATTAACTAGATGACTTATTTACTGAAAAAGCTATTAAGCCTGTAGGAGTCGGAATTCGAACTAAGTCAAATAAGTAAATAAATCGAATGTAATTGGCCGTCAATGTGAAAATAAGTACATGTAAAATTTTTTAATCAATAGACAGCGGCAATGTTTTTAATATGATAAGACACTGTCATATTAAATTACTCCAGATTACCCCAGATTCGACTAGTTCCGAATTAATGAAATTAAACGGTTTGATTCTAAAATTGAACTAAGGTCAAATTGACATGATTTGGATTCGAATCTCGATTCAATAATACGCTTCCTTTTTTGTGGCATGCATTAATAAGGAGGACAGACATTCGACGAAGTTACGCAAGTATATTTTGAAAAAAAGAGACGTAGGCGCAGATTACGATTAAATAATGAAACATAATAGTTGTTTGACGAACGTAATCTGCGATGATGCAACCGATATTAAGAATATACAATGTAAACACAGATACTTTAGAGAACCTCCATGAGAATTGCACTTCCAAAAGATATTACTCTGCATATACAATGACTTATTTGCCAATTACTAAACCGTTCGTAACGAAGACGAATGATTAACACAAAAATAAGTTTGATCATTATTTAAAGATACTTTCTCAATGCTTGAAAAGTGCTGAGTTTGTGGATACAACGATATCATTAAAACCAAAGGCAAATATTGGTATTCTGGGTGTGCACAAGGCACAGTCCACGACACGAGCATCACGTTGGACTTTACGGCAATTAACAATTATAATTGTTAATGAATGATAATTCATCGCGTTTGTATGGGTATGTAGTTGCAATTTATATCCAAGCAGAATATATTAGAGCACGAATGTGAAAAGCTAATAAAAGGAACGAGCCTGCGTCATACCAGTAAAAGCAAACAGTGGATCTAATGTAAAAGTTATTCTACTTGTACAATGAAATAAAAAGTCACGTTTGTAGAATTTTACGTCCCTCGCGTAACAAGTTCAAACACCGCGTGTCCGATATATTATTTATGAAGAGCTCTTCAAGAGAGCAAGTTCAGATATTAGCGTTCAGTTACTCACAACTTTCAATCGAGTAGGCCAAGGCGGATTTCTGGCGGCCGTCCTTCGGCCGATTTCAGCCGTCGAAACTTCTGATCACGTCTTATCAACCTTCTACTGACGTCTGCGTGCAAAAATAATTCATTTTTTCTAACCTTCGTTGAAACGGGTATGACCAGAATTATTATTGATTTATCAATATTTTGCTCGTGCCTTCATCTACTACTTTAGCCAGACGCACTAAAAACGTACTAACGCGGTTTCTGTTTCTAGCAACGAAAAGGAATATACAACAAGAGAATAGTCGTCATCTGTGTAAAGAATCTCTTGTGTCAGAGTTTCAGTTTCGTCACGCTTGCTTGCGTCTACCACGATAGAGTGGAAGACATTCAAAACAGCTTTGCGAACAAATTCACGACGGAAATAGATCCACCTTGCGCCGAAGAAAGAAAAACAAAGCGTTGAATGGTACACGATCACTTTATACTTTCGTTTTCTGTTCTTTTTAAATGTGAAAATGATTGATTTACACGAATTTCGATGCCGGTTTCTCCGTGTGTCGGCGAAAAGAACACCTTGTCAATAACGTGTTGTAGCGAACACTGTGTGCAAAATATGTTTGCACTCCATGAAGTCTCTGCCACGCGAGGATTCAATATTCTTCCCTGAACGACGATCAATCATCGCCGCGATAAAGTTACTCGATCACTACGTACGAACAACCGCACAAGCAGATTAAGACGCGTACAAATTTTTAGCACCGATTATAGGATGAGATGTAAGATTTCCCGAAATCATACTTCAAGTATATCAAATATCAAAGTGATAGATAAGTGAAATGATAGATAAGTGATTTCAGCTAACCAATGTGCAAGCGAAACCTGAAAATTACCTGATCAGGCAATTTTTCATTTCATCACGAATGAAAAATTTTTAATGATGACACGGAACATGTGTATATAATACTGGAGTCAAGATCATCAACGCAATCGTACTGCATATTATCTAATCAGTTGTTTTTAAAAAAAATCCTTTAAAAAAATCAAGAGATACAGATTGACGATACAATATGAAACCGTAAACGACAAGACACGACAAGATAATCAAGAGTTTTCCAAGAACAACCGAGTAGTCGTGGAAAATGTTTTCTTGGCGTGGTCGATTCTCATAAAATTCACGTTTTGAGATAGGAATCTCGCCGGCAAAAGGCACCGTGGCTTATTAGAAAATTTTACGCTGATAAGCTTCACGCGACGCCTCAACTTTTGTTCCCGCCCTCGTCTAATTTGTTTCACTCAGAAATCGTTCGATATTTCTTCGCGTTGATCTCATGACTTTTTACAGACGAAAAAGCTGATAACGAGCTCTTGAAAACGATTTTACTTCGTCGATTATGTTCCGGCAACTTGTTCACTATCACGCTTGAGTTCTGTGAAACTTTTTCTGCGTACGATAAATCACTGATACATGAAATGGTACGAAGTACCATTCTAGGATAAAAACATTTCAAAGCTCGGCTTCGCGATGCGATTTCTTTAATGACACCAACGCGTTAGATAACGGTAATTACTTTGTGATTATTATTTTTCTTTTTTTTTTTTTTTTTTTTTAATAAAAATGTTTTAGAGAAACAAAGACGAGAGACAGTCCAATGGTATAACAAACGACCGACGACTATCCATTGGCTTTTCCATCTTCCTTGGTATCCCTAAGGCCAGCGCGCGTACACGTGTACTATTTCTTTGTCTCCCTTCCTGGACGCGGGTTTCCATGTCGACGGGACGAAGTACACTATTACCTGACAGAAGCGTCGACAGTCTCGTCTCTCCCTGATATAAACCACCTACGATCTTCTGCGCGTGCCACTTGCTCGCTTAGACCTCAGTCACCATTCGATCGACAAATTAGTCCGTGAAATCATTGCCACTTCTCTAAGAAAATTTTCTCGCTTCGTACTCGTTTGAGAAATCATTTGGATTTTGACTGATTTAACTGAATTGATTAATAATTGCAAACGACTAAACTGAACGGATGAAATCAAACTTGGCAATGAAAACGGACAACTTGCAAACTTGCGTAGTGAATCGTTTGTAGGTAATTTAGGCGACACGTATATCAAAACTATTATTTCTCCTACATATGTACATTCCATTGGTGTTTGAACTACTAGAGACTGATTATTACAAATAATTAGGCAGAATGGATGAAACTGATCTCACGATATTGTAGAAATAGAGTTCAGTAGTGCAAGAAGCTCAGAGCAATTCTTAAATTAAAACAGTTAATAAGGAGAGGAGTCGTGTCCAATCATTGCTGCTTATTCTAGTTGAGACAATTAAGCTGACGGAAGTATACGTGATACAACTTGTGACGTGAGTATACGTCAATACTGAGCTGCGCGAATTATTAAAATTACATTGTATGAAATGCACAATAGCAAATTTTATAAGAAGTATTACCTTTTCGTACGGTTGGTAGAAAATAATAAATACAGAAAACGGAAACACAGTACTGTAGTAAAGTGACTTGTAACTAACATAACAGGCAACAGAAAACGAGATATACCAAAATGGTATAATGAATGGTTAATAATATACGATAATAGACATCGTTATTACTTTATTACCATATTGTTTATCGTGCCATTACGTGTTCGCCGTATCATTATCACTGATAAAATGCAAAATGCGAACAAGTACACGGAACGTATTTAACAAAAGAAACAAAGGTTATCATGTATATAAGTCGTATATACGTAATAAATCACACGATACAGTGGAGGTATTTATAATAGAAACAATTCGATCGAGGGATATCATAGGAATATAATAAATTGATCGAAGGGCCGCCGAATAATTGAATTTTATCGATCGCAGATAATTACATGGACATGTGCCTATAACTAGGCTTGAGTCACGAGTCAGAAACGTAACTATCTAAACTATAACAGGATTCCTATCTAAACTTCGTTATTATCAAGGATCGACCTTTAGCGGAAGTGGGTTGCTAGCGAGTCGCATAGGACGTTACACTTTCGAGCATAACCACGGAAATGTTAATTCTCAAGAGTGCTTTTGTACGGATCGATTTTTAGACGACTATACACCACTTTGCATGGACAAGTGTTTTACGTATTTCGTACAGCAATAGCACATGTCGCTGCAACTGGAAGAACAGCTTTCCGCGCTATTGCCATCGATGATGCACCCCAACGTGTATTGAATTTCACGGGAAATTCCATTTGCAATAGTAAATATTCTAGAAAGAATTGTGTACTGAACAAATGCATCGAGGAAAGCCGTATCGATCTGAGAAAAAGAGTATGACGAATCGCGAAAGACTTTCTCTGTCCGATGGCATCTATTTGGAGCTAGGTATTACATCGAGCAATAATAACGTAAGGTGGTGAATGATGATGAAAAAGAGATCGCGTGATCGGTGTAATTGGCTTATGGGTGCAACCGTGTTTTTCGAGACGGAAATAAAATTGGATAAGTCGAGGGAATGGTGTAACAAGGAGTGGCCCTTTCCATCGTTCATCCATTGGGTGCGTACACCGAGAGATATAGTTCCGTCGCGTCTATTTACGAGGCCAGGTTTCGTGTTTGCGACCGGTAACGACGTTGATCCATCGATAGGACACATGTGACGGACACACCCTAAAAATCCTTCCTTTGTTCTTCCTTTATCAGTGAATCGGGAAATGAATTAAAAGAGAAAAAAAAAAAGACCAAACGAAGAAGATGGTTGCACAAGAAATTTGCTTTGCGTGCATGCGGAAGTGAAACCCTACTGACTGTTAATATTTTACGCCACCACAATCGAGGATCTTATCGAGTGTGCAGATATCGTGCAACATAGTCCAGTGATATTGGAAATAACAAAACAACGATATAATCACGCGAGTACGATCAGTCATTTGTCAGATATCCATTATTTATATCTGTGGTGGTGGTTTCTATTCGATTGATATTAACTAGTGAGAAACGATCGTCAACAATAGGTACGATCAGCAGGAAATCTTTGTTTCTATTTCTATGTCATAACGTCACATTAATTATAAGAAAAAATAAATAAATAAATGCGATTGAAGGGAATTACATTTACGTAGAAGCATAAATTAAAATACGTTGTACAAAGAAATTATCAAGAAATTATCAAGAGAGAATGTTGCTGTAGGTACTTCCGTTGAATAGAGCAGTGATCACCAGCGAATATCACGTTAGGAACATTTTGACGCTGGTGAACTGCATTTTAATCACGTATGTAGGCAACCATCCAAATCACGTTTTTGTAATTGGCACTGGCTCTACCTTTCGGTTGTCAACATGATCATGTATCTACAAACTGCTCTGAAACAGGTTGCCTTGGGAAACATCTGTTCCCCACACGTGATAGAAACGACGCTTGTTCCATTACGAATATCGAACTACCTGTTGATGTAAATATAGATTCCGAATTGATATCAAAGATGAAATCAATAGTATCAAATAGGACGCAAATTTGTCACATCGATGTTAATTGATGGTAATGCTGCCTCGTGAATGCGTCTATAATAATAAAATATTCCACTGTCCAAATACGATAGTCGTGGATTGTCTTTTCAACTAGTTCAAACGATACGATCATTTGGCTGGACTAACTTAAACACCATCCAACAGGAAATAACTTTACGATCGGAGGTGGAATTTTTGCCAAGAAATTTTTACGAAGCTGACATCAATTCGTGAAAAGCTATTCTTCTCTCAGAAATAACTTGATGAAATTGGGACGAACGAAATGAAAAGCTGGCCGGCGTTCAGAGACATAATATGCAGCTCACGTGAGGGAAAATTCGTTCCGTGTTTCGCAGCTCAGCTAAACAAAATGTACGCGTTGTGTGTTGGTCGACCGTCAAGATCAATCAATTGCAAGAATAATCGAACATGAACGATCTGAAAATACATTTCACATGTATCCAGAATAAATAAATTTCGCAGTTCGAATAATAGAGGTTAAGTTTTTGCAAAGAAATGGGTGTAAAAATTGTTCTGCTCAATCGATAGAAAATCATGGAAATTAATTAAAAATATATATATTTTTTTAATTTTTATTTTTTTTTTTATATATACAAGTTTTATAGTTAAGTTCAAAGGTCTCACGCATATTTTATCATTTATGCATATGTACATACATCTTGACGTAAAATCGAATATTCGTTTAGTCTTTAGTATCACGTTCTATGTATTACAGTATTATGTATCATTGATAATCGCTTAGATTCACTTATCTTACGTATTTGCACATTCACGTGGATTCACAGTCATCCTTCATAAATGTCTCTCTTGGAGATTAGAAAGTGTAGCTAGGCTATCAAACGATACAATCAAGCCTTCTCTCTGTTTAGTATTAACACGCTAACCGTATTATCGATCATTTGAGGTGAAATTATTACAAGGCCATCAGTCGATATTGCTGAATGAAAGAAATGAAATGTATCGACTTTTCATAGGGTACAACATGTATACCGGGTGTCGCGCGGCAATGCGTGTATCATCGTCTGATGGTTCAACAAGCGCCTCACGGGCATACACGTGTGCAATGCAAACAAGAGCGAGTGCATAAAGACGTTGCACAGTTGGGTTAGGTCACCGAAATCGATGCATTATGCAACAAGTAGTCAAACCGAAGTGCAACGTTCAGCCTATTCGCGCGAAAATTCCATAAATGTAGCTCACATTCGTATATAACAATCTAGCCTTAACATCGCCGATAGCGTCGATAATGTACAATGTAAAGCACCAAACAAATAGTTCTTATTGTTCTTTCTTGGCAAATGATGGTTTCGTCTTTGTATAATCGTTGAACCTAATCAGAGATGATGCACATACACGACACACATACGTGACACGCGTATCATCGAATCAGATGAAATTTTGATTTGAATTAAATGCAATTTGATTTGAATTACTCCCCCCCCCCCGCCCCCTTCCCTCCCGGCTCGAGTCATCCAATTACATTTTCGTCCAATTACATGGTTGATTCTCTGCAAGTTTACTGTTTCATAGAACCAACCTTTGACAGAGGTTTGGTATTAAATATTTGATTAAATTAATAATAATAATAATAATAATAAATCAATAATAATAAATGTATTTTTAATATTTTAATGAGGAAAAAATCGGTGACGAATGCTTCTATGAAGCAGATTATTATTAATGAAAAATTAAACTTTATTTGATTTTATGGTTTTAATAAAGAGAAATTAAATGAATTCTTAATTCAAAGAATTAATTAAGAATTAAAAATTCTTTGAATTGAGTAAAGTGTCATAATATTTTCTGTGATTTATATTTGCACTGTCTAGCCAATGCTTCATGAAAAACAAAGTTTGATCAAAATTTAAAGGAGACATTTGATATGAATTAAAATTGTGTATCAAATTTAAGTGATGTAACTAAAGTACACCGATAATTCATAGTTTGACAGTACGCATATCAACTGCTTTCACAAAATTTTGTATGTATATATTATGTATTCTATAATGTAAGCTTGTACTATATTGCAAACGTATGTATTCTATATAAATGTCAAGTGTAGATCGTACACAATATAACCTCTAATACTTTCTACACGCATTTGTCACAAGAAAATGAAATGCTAAAAGTAGATACTCACAGGTACTGAGCCGTGTGTCCGTGTCTATGCTGCTGTACGCATGTTGCCAGCTTCTCAGCATTTCACACCGTTAGAAGATAAATCCAAGCAAACTTCAAGAAAATTACACAGCATGCACTAACACACGAAACGTAACCACTGGTGCACACCCGTTTTGCACCCGGGTAAAGTGGTATAGAAGAAAACGTAGAATCCTGCACTTAGCCTTAACAAGAACATACGATATTTGACAGTAATCAACTGATCCAACGAGCATCGGTACGACGGATCCCGTGTTCTGCTTACTTTCAATCTTCAACTTTCTCTTTCTTTTTGAAACGTTTCAAGGATCTGCGCGAGTCAGTAGCTTGCGAACGATACTTCGAAGGAATGCAAGCCGCAACACTATCGAGATCTACGTCGTCTGTTATAGGCGCTATCTAGATTCTAAAGACTAGATGTAAAGCACGTAGAAGTAGCGTACATGTGACGGAATCGGTTATTTATTATTAAACCCCCAGGCCATACGCGCGAAAAGGCGTCCCTCTGCAAGTGTCATGGCGCCATGTGCGCGCAGAGTAATTTTCTCTGTTACCAGATGCCGCCGTCTATCAATACGAGCGCTATCTATGAAAATGCGGAAATACTCGCGTAACTAATATATGCAGTGTGTTATTAGCGTGTCGGTATTGAAGATTTGGAGGAAATATTTTTTAAATTTAAACCAATAGATAAACTTAGTACATATTAAATTCATATTAAATATTGATCAATATAATTTTATGAATTAAATTACTGCTAAAAAATAAAATATAATGCAATTGAGCTGTATTATAGTAACAAAAATTATTAATAAATAATATCTTGTAAAAAAGAAAATGTTTGCTTTTTGTTTTTATTACACATTAGCTATAAATGTCGACATTTACTTTGATATATAATACAAAAATTAAGAGAAACTATTAAAGAATATAAGTACGTATTATACGTATTATAATTAGACTAATTTAAACAATTATTTTCGTATTTAAATAGGAAATTTAAATATCCTGTTTTGTTAATGCAATTCTTATTTAACCAAACATGTCAAAGAAGTATTTAAAAATGGCCGCAGCTACGAAGTAACAAGAGTGATTTTGAAATTCCAATCGATATATTCGTATAATCATCGTAGTAAATACGTCAATGGCCTAACTTATTTATAGTTCATCATTCTTTTTATTAGTCTGCCAAGAATTTTGACGCAAAAGCGTGGTGAATACCAATTCATACTTTTACACTTCCGTCTTGCACGTAAATTGTCGAAACAAATTTTAACTCAATCGAGTATTTGCTATTTGAAATGCATTTATTCGTACAATTGGCTCTGTAATACTTGCAGGTAAATGACACCTTTCTACTTGCATAAAATTACGTTTTTTTAAAGTTGCATCGCGATAAAAATTGTGCAATAGGGTTAACTGTGAAAAGTCAACAAACAGGCAGGTACTTTTTCAAGACTAAGAATATTTTGTGCAAAGAAAATGTCGCCCGGTGTTAACGATGGTCCACGCAACACAGGCACACTCCCAAAAAGCAATAGGAGAAATGATAGAAATAGAGAACGGTCAGCTGCTAATCAATTTGCAATCCGTTCTGCTTATCATGGACATACACAGCACTCTAACAATTTGGTAAACTAATAAAAAAATATGAATGATATTTTTTATTTTTAATATTTTATTTCATATTATTTTGTGTTTTTTTACATCAAAATTCCTACTAGAAAGTGAAAGAGAATTAAATTTTTAATAAATTTTATTATTTTGAATAATGTTGTCATATATATTAAAATTTGAAAGAATATTTTAATATTCAATAATATCCAGCACCATAAAAAAAAATAAAAATAAAAATAACATTGAATTTGGTGTAATTTGAACTTTCCAAATGAAAACTTTATACAGCAATCTGTATATAGTAGTTTAAAAGATAATCTATTAATAGACAGCTGAATAGTGGGGAACTTCTCTCTAAGAATACATATCCAGATACAATTCTACTTTGGGGCAGTAGAGTTTCAGTATTTCAGTCATCATTTCTAGAAACACTAGCAACTATTTGTGTGTTTAATTGATTTTATAAATTGTATGTGATAGTACCAACTGGATTGGAAACCAGTCAGTGAACAAGAACACATAAGGATAACAAAGAACAGTAACACAAGATCAATTTCTTCAGTACCATCTACATCTTACCAAGACATACCTGAATTTGGTACATATCTAATCGTACTTATTTTTGTATTTTTATATTGTTTTGTTAATAATACAAAAATGTTATTATTTTAGTATCATTTGGTGGTCGACCATATAATTACAGTGCAGAAGAATATTCGCATTGGCAAAAGATGGTTCCTCCAACTGATTCTCAAACTCAATCTCCTCCAAGACTTGAAGGAACAAAACCTTCTAATGTTGATAAAATGGTAATATATTCTTTTTATGATACTAAAATATTTTATTTTTATTTTATCTACAATATTCCAAAACTTTTATCAAAGATGTTTAATGTATTATAGCCTGATAGGAGCCAAGTAGAATCACGTTTAAATCAAATCAGAGATTATATCAGAGTAACATCAACTCTGATGGATTCACTTAATCAGTCTAGTGATCCAGTAAGTATACCAGTCATTAGTCATAACATGATGCTTGTGTATCTTTTGTTATTGTTAAGTACTTTTCTCTACATATAATTATACTATAGCGTGCACAAGCTCAAAATGAGAAGTTAAGTAGAATGGTGGAGGATCTTCATGACAGTGAAAGAAAACTAACTAAACTCTTGGAACAATATCAAAATCATGGGATATTTTGTGAGGTTACTGAATTTATAGAAGTTATTTACTGACTAATCAAAGAGTGTATATAACTTTTTATGCATGCCTTTTTTAGTTACAAGTCTATAAATTATATTCTATGTGTCTTAGTTTACATATAGCTAGCGTTTGCTTTACAATAGATAAATTATAGAATTTTTCAACTATTTTTTTCCTAGAATAGTGAAAATAGCAGAGAAGATGGAGAAGAAAATGGCGATGTGAATAGAGAAATGCAGCTACGTAAAAAGATGGAAGAATCACAAAGAAAACTTGTACAACTACAAGAACATCAAGCTAGTTTGGTGGGAATGCAATTACGTGTTAGAGAAAGATTAAATGAAGCACGTCAAGCTCAACAAGCTCTTTTACAGCAAGAAAATCAAAATTCAATTGGTTTAGCATTACCATTACCTGTAAATGTTGAACAACTTGAAAATGAAACAGCTGCATTGAGGGGAAAATTGGCTCAACTTCAAACAAAGAAAAAAAATATGGACCATCTTGTAGCAGAACTACAAGCTGCAGAATCTTTGTCTGATAGGGGTAGTTGTGTTAGTATACTATTATATTAATTTAATATAATTAAAAATAACATAGTTGTAAGTTAATATTTTAGAGTTTTCCTTAATATTTTAGAGTTCTGATGGAGTTCAGGGAAGACGTTCAAGAAGAAGTTCTTCAAGGAATTTTGGAAGAGACAAAGCTGCTGAATTAGAAGCTATGAAAGCACAACTTGTTCATTTGAAATCATTAATGGAAGAAGCAACAAAAGGACAATGTCTCGATTCTAACTCTGATCCCGAACCTGAAATAGATGTAAATGGTGAAACTACAGCTAATATCGATGGGAACGAAGATGAAAGTGGAACGAACATTTCATTTGAACGTCAAAGCGATGCTGATGAAACAAGTCATGAAAAAATCAGAAATACCGGAGAAAGGCCATCTGTTGAAGAAATTCAGGTATAAATAAACGCGATTAGAAGCTACATGTTATGTTTTGCATAACATCTAATTTAATTCTAATCTGAAATCTAATTTATAGGCAGTTACACGGGAACTTCGAGAACAATCAGCTTTGTTAATGTCTACTAGAGCAGAATTACAACGAATAAAACAACCATTATCAGCAATGCATTCTAATTCTACATCTGTCTTTCCGACTTCAACTCCTCCTCCATCGCTTACAGCGTCAATCAATTCTGAGAAAAAGCAAAGTAATAATAATAATTATGAAGTTCAATCTGCTCAGGAAAGAAGACGTCAAATTGATGATATTGTGCGGAAGGTACTTATTTTGTACATAATTAATTAAAGTTCAATGTTTATTTTATTATTTTTATTTTATTGAATAATAGGAATCATCTAGCAACCGCGATATGGGAGGACCAAGTGATTTAAATAGTCATAGAAGTTCTAGTTCGCATGTTAGTTATACAGGTACTCCCGCTAATGTTTGGCCAACTCCAACAACGATAGGTAATTAACATATATATTATCATATACATTATACTAATTTTAAATTATATTTTGGTATATAGGTGGATCTAATGATCAAAGTGTAGATGGTGTATCTTCCGAAAATTTAATGGACATTGGACCTCAAACAACGGCGATTGAGAATGGATTCAATGGAAATTGGTGGACATATCCACCGCCCCCGTTAAATCAATTACAACATGGTAAACTATACATGAAATTTAAAAAATTTTAAATTTTTGAAATTTGAATAATAATTTTAAAATTCAATATTTATAGAGTATAATAACTTTTAAATACATTTTATAGGTTCAACAGAGTACTACCGACAATTATTATTAGGTTCTCAAGCACAACAACTTCAAATGATGGGGACTACAATACAACAATGTTGTCAACTATTATGGTCTCAACAACGTGAATTACAAGCTATGCGTACAGCTATTAATCAGTTACAAGTTCATTTGAGACAAACACAATTACAGCAACGGAACAATAGCGAGAATAACGATGAATATTCTAATCTAAGTCGTAATATTCATCATCTTGGTGAAACATTAGATTCTGCATTACCACCAAGTTCATCTTTGCCAAATTTGGTATCATTGCCAAATTCTTCACCTGCATTATCCCATACTGGTGTAACATCTTCTGTCAATTCTCAACATCAGCAACAACAATTGAATAACCAAGTTCCTCCTGGCAATAGAGCAAACAACTACTGGGACAATTTCAGAAGGTAATAGTATACACATATATATGTTAATTTATATATCATTTGTCCACGTGCAGTGAAAGTGTTATTTATATTGATACAACTGAATCATGCATCAAATCGAAATTTTCAATCATGTAATCATTTAATACAAGAATGTATTTGATAAAACTTCACAAAATATAATTTGTTTTATGACTTAAGGAATTCAATTTTATAGATTTTTTTTCTCAACATGAAATCAATGTTTCCTTTTCAATTAAATATCATTAAAAAAAGGAAGTATTTTTTTAATGAATTTAGGTATTTTATATCCAATAGATCGTGCACATCCACCTCCTATCTTTGTGTAAATCTAATGTATCATTGCATAAAGTAATAAACATCACGATCTATCTATGTATTTTTTGTCTTGTTACTTTTTACTTATTACTACCCTCGTTTAAGCCATATCACATTTAAAACCTGTAAAGATTTGATATTATAGACCAACGTTTAATGAATATGAATCTAAATGAGGATAGTAAATTGGTACGTAAATTATAGGTATGTAATATGTGTTTGAGAATATATATATAAATATATATATATATATATATTTTTGAAATATTTTGATTTTAACTAACAATAAACACTCAGTCAATAATAACCAAAATTTGTTTTTTTCTGTGGTATTGTTGTGTTTTTTTTCTCAGTTTCTGCAGACAGTGTATTTAAAAACATAGTTTTCTATCATCTTAACTATATTACACATCTTGCTTCCTTAAGCATGGTATGAATAACTTGAACATGATTGTATATTTAAATTGATATATATATATTTCTTTCCCACATTTGCAGCTATTCCAGACAAAACTTACTCTCAGGAAGTGCAAAAACTGTGACTGATACTACTTCTGGCGCTATTGCAAATTCAACTTCAGGAAATACTATATCAAGTGTTAATACTTCTCTTATGTATGTAAATATGTAAATTATTTAGAATGAATCTATGAATGATTTAGAACAAATCTCCGAGTATGAAATTCATAATTTAATATATTGTATATGTTAACTAAAGGAAAGACAAACGCAATCGAGATCAAGGAGCTGATAATATATCATTGCCTTCATTAAGTGGGGTAGAAACACAATATTCTTCAAATTTGCAACTGCAGGCAAATTTACAGCAACAAGAACGGGAGAATACTGTTATGCGTAGTAATATTTTAACGAACGAAATGTCTCAACAACAAGTTGATAATCTTTGGGAAGAAACAAACTCATCATTTCGATTACCATCTGTAACGAATGATGATAATCCATTTCAAACCCTAAGGTATGTCTTTGCCATTAGATTATTCTTCAATTACTTATTTTCTGCAAAAAATGTACCGAACTGATGTTTTTATAAAATTGATTATACAGCTTCGAAATGAAAGAAGTATTAAGTTCACTCATCGCCGTAAATAAAAAGCGACCAGACTATTTGATTATCATATTAAAGGAAATCAAGGCAATAAGTGAAGATCACAGATTGCGTCCTCGTTTGTGGAGATCATTACGTGCTTTGCAAGATACACAATCTTCAAGTAATCCATTGGTTTGTACAATTGTAAAATATATTTACAATCAAATATGAAATAATAATTTTCGTACTAGCTATGTTTCTTTTAACTTTTTGCAGAATGAAACAACTGATCAAACTGCCAGTGAAAGCTGTCAATCTAGTGACGAAGATTCTGAGACAGATGTAATATTAGGTTTAAGAGCAAAACATTCTATAGCAGAATTAATTTCATCATCTCAAGCTGGAATTTCATCATCTCCTATTTCACATGTACCTTTAATAGATCATTTAGACATGCCTGTAAATATCACAAACATATATTTAAATATTTAGAACAAATAATATTTTATATTTATTGTATATATTTTATAGGGGACATCTTTAGGTAATTCTACAAGTACTTTGCCTTTAACATCTTCCATTAAACCAGGTTACAACGAAGATCTGGCAGAAGCAGATCAATCAAGACCTGAATCTTCTGGGAATCAACAGGTATTTTAAAACTAATTAAATAAATGAATATATAATTAACATAATAAAATAATATAAAATTAAATAGATACTTAAATGTAATAAAATGAAATATATCTGTAGCCTCCTGAAAATGAAGAAGAGAGCGAACAAAGTCAGGGTGAAGCAGCTGGTCAAACTGAATCTGCACAAGCTAGATTTGATGGTGAAGGAGATTTTGAAAGTTTAGCTGCTAAAGCTGAAGATGAGAGAAATGAGAACAGTTCAATGCTATTTTGATATTGAATTACATTAAAAAATATTTTTAGTTGTATACATAATAATTAAACATATGTTTTAAGTTTAATACAAATTTTTTAAAACTGAATTATGATACTATCAAAAGCATTATATTATTTAACCCTAGATGGAATTATGATCCTTTTGTAAGTACTGTTTATTCATTTACACATTAATTTAAATATTTGTTAATGTTCATAATACATTACACAGATTATAATAAAAATTATAATTTAGAAAAGTAAGTATTTATTTTTTATTATATGGTACAATGTAATGACATATATAAGTGCATAGTAAATGTATGCTTTGTGAACAAATACAAAAAATATAAACATTACAAATGCTATTATTTAATTATTTTATTTAATTCAAAATTCTGTTTCAGTACCATTGTTACCAAGCAGTTGCAATCTATGAAACTGGTATATTGAACATCCATGTGTTTCAAATAAAATCTTCTCATATTCAATAGTGCTTTCAATTGCTTTATTTTCACTATTGAATAATTCTTGATAATTTGAATTATTTAGAATATCGTGATTACCTGCTGTCCAACAGCAGTTTTCATCTGTAATCATAGATTCCTCTATGTTTTTATCAATGTTTAATGCTTCAGATTCATAACACATAGTTGATGCGCAGTCCTTTGTACTCCATGTATCACCAAGTACACAGTCCTTACCACCGCCTCTGAAAGGAAACCCATAGCCTTAACCCTTAATTTAGCTAGATATCTCCTATGCCACTTATTTGTTCAGCAAATTGTGTCCTTACCATCAAAAAAAGACTTACTAAGTGTCATTAGTTTATGAAAAAATATTAGCATCTATGCTTTCCATTGCATACCATTATCCATGGTGCAGAAGATGACAGGATGCATTAAGCTTCAAAATAAATTTAATGCCAGGATCGGATGAAAATCTCTGTGGTCACATATAAATATACAACCTTTTTCCCATAGAAGGGAAAAGTGAATATTCATATATTTTAATATTTATTATTAGCGGGTACAATGATGCAGTGACACTAAATAGTTACTTTAAAAACATTTAAACAAAAATTCTTTTTTCTTCTTTTTAAACTTCAGGAAGAGATACTCGATATAAATCTAACGAATTAATTACAATAAATATTTTCCCGCGCTTAAAAGTCTCCCGCTTAAAAGTAAAGAAGAACAAACAACGACCTCTAACAAGATCTATTTGAAGCATATACGAATATAAATTGATGAGACCGCGTTTTTATAAAACACATTAGCAAATAGATCATCGACACGTTTTTATCTATTCTTCACAAAAGAGACGAGAAAGATGAAATTATAAATCCTTTCTTACCTCTCCGAAACTTTTTCAGTTGACATGTAGAGCTGAGATCGCTGTTGTGTCGTTTCCGAGTCCTGCGTTGAGGCACATCCGCATCATGAACTGCTCGTTGTTCAACTTGTGGTTTTTCATGAGCTTTTAGCCGGTTCTGTACCACTGCTTTTACAATTACGGAATCATTATTCAAATAGTCTGATGCCATTGAATAATCACATCCGTCTTCATCAGTTTCCATCATCGTATCATAGGAACAGTAGTTAAACATAGGAGGTTTCGCAGTTTCGATATGCTCGAGCATAACTTTATGCTGATTTACATTTTTACAACGCGATACGCGACTGTAATACACGTTTGACGACATGAATGATGGAGCGACGGTTTCTGCGTTATACATAGCATTACTTGTTACAGCCATAATTATTTTTCTTTATAACTGATTTTCTATATTGCACTGAATAGTATAAAAGCACTTTATTATATATCACTCAGATATAGACGTTCAATCACGATAGATGAAACGAATAGAAAACACTGACTAAGAAAACATTAACACTCTCCGAGAACAGTAATGAATGTGGTTCGGGTTAGAAGCCGAGTCCGCTCGAGCAATGAATCGGCAACGTTCGGCCTTTCTCGTACGATTTAGTTCGTTACTTTAAATCCCCACCAATATTCAACCCGTATGAAAATTTATATCGTTTGCATCAGAATCTGACTCAAACTTTTAAAACAACATCTGAGTAATACATTTATTTCCAAATTGATTTTCAAATAATCGAAATGAGATGGGATTATTCTTGTAAAATTTACGGTTCTTGATGATATTTATCTTATCTTACGGGACGATCCTATTGGTCAATTTGTATGATGACCTGAATTATAAATATTTAGTTAGGGAGAGATTCAAGAGATTAGAGAAAATGGAATATTTATGTATGAACATTCATTTTTAACATCTAAATAAATACAGTTTTTCTTCAAGAATTTATATCATAAAAACTGATTTTCAAAATAAATATGTACCATAAAATTTTTACCAAATTAATAGAAAGAGAAAGTTTAGAACGTAATTAGAAAGATTTGATAAAGAAATTCATAGAAAATAAATAATTTTAATTCTGTAAAAGCATTTTCTTATTTTTTGAAAATTTGTTTGATTTAACTGATAGCCATGGAAACAGTTTTATCCCCTAGTGACGAAATGACAGAACTAACTGCTTCATGTCGAAGTTAAAAAATATGAGTTTTACATTTCACATTGATTTACATTGTATATATTTATATTTATGTAATTTAGAGCTGCTATTTTCAACTATATCCATATTTAATTTTAATCTAAATTTTAATCTAACATAGTTTAACAAAGTTAAGATAAAATTCCCTATTTGAACACAGTGGCGCCACCACATAATAGGACACACAGTCAAAGTATATATATATATATATAGGATATTTCATCCTAATTGTGTGTAATTAATTAATTACGTAAAAAATCGAAATAATATCATACAAAAGAAATTTTTAAAAATTTTAAAACTTTAATATAATTTCCAAACTGTGTAAAACGGCTTCTAAATTGATAATTCTGATTTTTTAATTTTATAAAAAGATTGGTTCCATCTTTCTATCGCTATGTGGCGTTAGTATTTCAACATCCATGATTCAATCAAATTTTTATTTGTAAAAAGAAAACTAATTATTAGGATTAATTCGTGATCTTTTGTAGTTGCACCTGTCTTAGAGTTTTAATTTCTTTTTTTTTTATTTATTTTATAAATTTCGAAATGAAATTTGAACTTTGTGGTGACTTTGAATAGAAAAATTTTATTGAATATGATAGAAATTATTTTGAAGAGTAAAATCATTCATTACAAACATGAAGAAGCTTAAGTACTCACAAATTATGTAAGTTAAATTCATTAAATTAATAGAATTAAAACTAAGCCTTAAAATTGAGATATATTTCTTTGGTTTAAATCAAATTAAAAAAAATAAAATCACAGGTACTTTTATTTAATTGTTTTATTTAATAGATGATAAAGACTTTAAAAAAGCAATTCTTTTTTAATTCAAAGACAGACAATTTATTTTCATATGAAATGTTTTTACTTTAGGTAGACTACAGCGCCAATGCGGTAAAATTTTACAGTTAGCTATTGCGATACTCAATAATCGATATAATCGATACAGTTTCTCTCGATCCATTTATAATATTGGAATATAACGGGAAAGAATATTATTCAGACGTTATCAGGTAATCAATATCTGTTTTTTCATTATTGAATGCATATATGACAAATAAAATAGTCTGCATTTAAAAGGATTACTGCATACATTCAATAATTTGTTGATTTATTATACAGTAGTTCAGTAGTAGAACAAAAAAAACATTTATGAATGTATTTATGTATATTATAACATTCTAAAGTTTCATGCACTATAACGACATATGATTGTCATAGTTATACTAGAAGTACAAGATATAGATGATTATATAGATATAGATATAGATAATATAGATGATTTATGTTAATGTTAATATATAATTCATTAAATGATCACAAGTTTTAATCTCATCTAGTTAGTTTAATACTACAATATTAATATGATATTAAAATAAACAAAATTGATAATATGTTGTAATAAATTGATATAATAAAATTAACGTGTATATATGATATATGATTGATTAGAAATATTTTGCTTTTCTACAAATCAGATGAATAGTATTCGTTCGAGTCCCCATTCCCTTACAACGCATACCTGTTGCATGGGGAGTTAGTTTAGTAATGAAAATCTTAATGTTAAGGTGTCTTATTATGCATAACATTTATTAACAACGTAACACTTTCATCGCTATTGATTCACGTTCACAACCTTGTTACTGCCAATTCTGTTTAATTAATGTTTTTATTCTATAATAATAAATCAAATATTAGTATAATTTATAACTACATTATCTATTTTCTTTTAATTGTCTTTTTGGTTGTCATATTTACTGGAAGCCTGTATGAGTTTTCAAAATAGCATTTAATTTTGATTATTGTTTCATTTTTGTATAATTGGTTCTTTTATACTTGTATTTAAAAGTTTTTATTTTCTTTTGTACAGATTATTACTGATTGTTAAGGAAACTTCGAAATATACGTATATTATATGGCGGATGCCATGAAATTCAAAAAATGATAATATGATTCATAATGATTAATGGTAAGTCGGATAGTTTTTCATGGAGATACTATAACATTTGATTTATTCTAATAAAGATAGATGTATTTGTACGTTTGTCTTCATTGGATAATTAGTAATTTATAATTATTATTTATTAAACAATAAAGTTTAGTAATTTTTATATTAAAGTACAAATTCTTATAATAATTAGAGTTTATTAGAATTTTAATCGTTTTCAATATTCCAAATTTAAATAATTTATATTTATTTTGTTAAAGGCATTTTACTCGTTTCTCTTCTTGGTATTCTCTAAAGAGGATCTAATGGTGTTTTAAAAATTGTGAATGTAACTTTATATTTTATAATTTTTATTCTATTTCTATTGTTATTAATTAAAAAATGGATTCTAATTCAAAATTTGATAAAATTAATCTTTTATTATCCCAAACATTGTATTTGAGAATAAATTACAGTTAACATCTATTCTAGGTTTTCTTAGGGATCTCTTTTAATTTTCACTTTTTCTTTGGGATTTTGTAATTTCTATTTGAAGACGGATTTGACTTCAAGTCCTGTATATATAATATAAATAGTATTGTAAGATAATACAAATAGCGATTGTATAAATGATTATATAAACTCGATTAAGAGTCCTATAACTTAACGTACAGATTTATATCAGTGAGTAACATAGGACCAATAGTAACATCTTTTCCAGGTGTAATCGATGTATTACGTCAAATTGTAGAAGTAGCTGATTAAAATAGTAGCTATACTAGGTCATCGACTTACATCTGTTCGATCTTCGTGCACGCTATCTTAGTCGTAATTCACGTTAAATTATTTCACCCGATAGTAAAATGGGTCAGAGCTTGACCGTGTTTCTTTCACAAGTTTATTTTTTTTTATAAATTTTGTCAATGAATAATCATTTACCAATCAGTTAAAGTCAGAAAAACAAATTGTACAAAACTGATCAAAATTGATAAAAATAAATATCTTTGAAAAAAACGAACTCAGGATTGTTAAAGTAGAGATTTTGCTTTTTAAAATAGAATCAAGTTAATTGTCCTACAATTCTTTTTCATGAAATTATAACAGTTTATATCGACAATTTTTTATTGAATGTATTGTTATCCTTTTTTCTCTGAAATGTAGAAATTTATACAATTAATGTACTTAATATATTACACACAACATTTACAAATATATTTGTACTATAACGTTCTCTATTCACTTGTTGATTCTTTAATTTCATATACAATGAATATTACGTAATACAATAAAATTTCTTATGTCATATTTTTCATAAAATGTGTAAATATTTTAGTTAATTTTAAAGAATTTTTCATGAAGTTTGTGTAATTGATTTAGACTAAAATTTTTTATTTTTTATTCCAAGTTATCATTTCGTGAGAAACGCGCGATTGCAGCGCCCCAACGGTGAAATATGCAATATATTTCCTACGATTCTCGAACGTAATAATCGATCGATATTTCTCACGATCGATTTTTAAACGGGAAGTATGGCGGAAGAAAGCACACCTCGTCTGTAAAGAAGAAAGTATTATTTAGAAAAATCATACAAAGAAGTGTCATTCAAAAGTTTTCAGGTAAAAATTTAAATTAATAGTTGTTAGATTTGTGTTTGTGTTTTGAATTTTTTAAGATAAGACGTGCATTTTTGGCTCCAACTCAACATAAGATTTAACCAAATAATTATTACATATAATTTTCAACAATTAAAAAAATAATGTAATTTTATACCAAAATTTAATTTCAATTCTAACCAGTACAAATATTGTAATCTTGTAATTGACTAACTCATTGTTTTATATATATACATATATACACGTATTTTATTATATGCTTTTACACACACACTTCTATTATAAGATTTTCTATTTATTTGTTGATTCTTTGACTTCATACTGCATAGACAAATCTAATGTTGAAAAACAATATAATTTATTAAGAATGTACGTATAACAATATAATTTATTAAGAATGTACGTATAACAATATAATTTATTAAGAATGTACGTATTTAATAATTAAAATAATACTTTTACTGCGTAATATGATAAAATTTTCCATTTTTCAAATAAAGGTGTAGAAGGCCTTGAGTCTCGAAATCCGAAGTTCAAAACATAAACATAACGCTTACGTTTTTGTGTAAGGCCTTTATTTATTCGAACCTGTTCGAACAGGATCACCCCATCCCCTACGACTTTCTTAACTAAAGGACGACGTATCGCGCATTCGGTCGTCGAATTTCGTGACAACAATATGTTCTACATCGCATTGGATTCTTTTACTACTTTTACTAATCTATCGGTGGCGTCTCTTCGATGACGTTGCTTGTTCGACACTCTTTTACTTTCATTTATATCTCATTAATAGCATCATTAATTCATTGAAATTGTAATTTGCGA